AGCAACACCTGAAAGCCATTACAGCAAAGGTGTCCCGCAAAGTAGGTGCCCTCTGGCGGACTCGGAGATGCTTGAGCCTGGCGGCCCGAGTCACCTACTTGAAGTCCGTGGTGATACCGGATCTGACCTACGCATCAAGTTGTTTCGTGTTCTGTCTAACTGCCCAGCAAGCAACGGATCTCCAGACGCTGGAGAACAAAGCGGTTCGTGCAGTTTTTGGCGCTCGGCCATACGACTCTGCTCAACCTCTGCTCCAACGGGTGGAACTCTACCGAATCTCAGAGCTGCACAAGCAAAAGGCGCTATTGCTCACCTGGCGATGCATCCACGGCATTGCGGGGAACTGGCTCTGTGGACTGATTTCAAGGTCACCAGATCGGCGTACCCGCTTGCAGAAGGACATCGGAGCGCACATACCACCCGCCGCAAGCCGCGCTGGTCAGGCTAGGTTCTCTGTTGCCGCTCCCAAGCTGTGGAACGCACTACCCAGCGACATCCGCACCATCCCCCAACGCAGTGTGTTCAAGATGTCAGTCATCCCACATACGCTCGCTCCATGAAACGTATCACCCATTATTCCAGTCACTGTTGCTGTCGCATCCACTCGTATGTCGCATCCACTCGTAGTCCACGTCCGCTGATGTCGACCGAGGTAGCTCTCTTGCTACTGTGTAATAGTGACATGTACCCAGCTAATGTCTCTGCTTCGTTCAGGGAATTCAGCATAGGAAGTCTGCTGTACCACCCGCTCTTTTCTTTTTACTTTTAAAAGCGATTATTTGTAACATGGAAATTTGTTCCTTGGCTCACCATCTGAGTTCTTAAAGCTATTATTCATTTTCTGCTGGCCCCGGTTATTTCTTTTATTAGTATTATTTTCTTTGCCTTCGCTTTCTTGTTATTGGGCAACTTGCCCGTTAGAATCTGCGAAGTAAAATAAACAACAACAACAACAATACGAATAAAGATCATTCTTTTCCTCAACCCGCAGTAGCCGGTTACACTGGTAGCAGAGAGGATGGTTTCCATCGACCTGACTACTGGCCTTCCGCTCCTGCTGCTGACCGCCATCGCGGTGACAACGTACCTGGCTCTACAAGAGTTGCGACGACTCGTGGCTGCCATCCCGTCTTCCACATTACTGCCTTGCTGCGGTATGAGGAAAACGCTATTCCTGGCAGAGAGCAACCTCCACCACCATCATTCACTGACCTCGATGGAAACACGCGGTTCATGGTCGAAGAAATTCTGGATCACTGAGAACGTAGGGGACAGCGAGAGTACCTGGTCCATTGGCAGGTCTATCCTGTCGACGAAGCTACATGGAAACCCGCAACTAATTTGCGCGATGAGTCTGGCAGAGACATTGTGTTTTTAAGACATTATTTTAAATTCAAGGAATCTTCACTGATATTGCAGCTGAGTTAACTTCTGGAATTCCATTGCACTGCATTCTGTGTAATTTTCCTTCGCGATTTGACTGTTGGGTTCTCGACTTATTCCGCTTATCCACATGCAGATTTAGCTACTTGAGTTGCTCGTGTTTCCTTTAGGGGAGTGGGATGGTGTAACAGTGTTACCTGCTGTTCACACTCCTATCCCCTCTATCCACGGCCCTTCGGCCTATCACCTACCATCCCGCCTATCTAGTTGACACCTTTACATCATAATATTCTAACCCTGTGCAATACGAATAAAGATGATTCTTTTCCTCAACCCGCAGTAGCCGGTTACAAGTACGGCCTTCTGGCCTGGTGCTTTCCAAGCGCTCCTGAACGGAATTGCAGAGCATCTCGTTCAAACAGCCCGACGGGTTGGCAGACGATGGGCGTTTTCGGAAGGCCTTTTGCTCGAGCTCCCTCTTGTCTCTGCTGTCGTCGTGAAACGTTCTTCCAGATACGGTAGACTAGAGCAGGGGCTGATTTTTCACCCTCTGGCACTTACTCATCCGTTTCTGAGCAAAGGTCGGGAATCACGCCAAGGCAAGACGTCGTTTACTTTGCTTTGGCAAAGTTCAGGAACCACTTCGTGGCGTCGTCTGCATGCACCCAGACAGTTTGAGAATCACTTGGTGAGTGAGTCATTTGCGCGTCTTCGGACTGCCTGCCTGCCTCAGTGCCTGCCTGGCTCAGTGCCTGGCAAAGGTCGGGAATCCACTGGTGGCTCGCATCATTTGGCGCTTTCGGGCACTAGTCGGGAAGTTGTATTCAGGAAAGATCGGGAATAATTTCTTGATCGCCTTCGACCAAATGTCATGCCAGTGCACTGCACTCTGCAGCGTCCTCTGGTTGCTGCCTTTATAATTAATTATTTAGGCTTTAGTCAGAAGGTATCATCTGGTCACATCATTTCGTCAGACAGAAGGTATCATCAGGTCACATCAAGAATGCAAGTGCAAGAGTAACGTGACTGTGCACGTAACTATTACTACTACATGACTAGTAAGTAGTACATTGTATTATTATTGTTGACAGCATGAAACTAGTTAGTTCAATGACTGGCCGTTGCGTCCAGGTATCATACGGATACTGCTGATTGACAGTTGACACTACAATACCAGTGCTCCATACTGACAGGTATCAGATATCGATATCGGGCGCGGCGACTCACTGCTGGCTATGCTACACTACAGTACAGTACTCTGCACAACTACAATGACCTACACTTACTTCAAGTAAGCTACTGAGTACTGTAGAGGCAGAAAATTTCGTCGGTCAATAATTTCGTCCAACTCCAAAGAAAAGGAGTTCGTCCGGTTGAAAATTTCGTCCATGCATCATAAGAGTGTATAGAAACGCTGGACAAATCGATATTCGTCCTACATTTAATTTAGTCCAAAAGCTCCTTGGACGAAATAGACGAAATTAAATTCCAGACGAATATTTCTGCTTATACAGTACTTTGGAAGTACTTGTGCTTGAAGAGTTCTATGAAGTATTGAGTACTTTGGAAGTACTTGTGCTTGAAGAGTTCTATGAAGTATTGAGTACTTTGGAAGTACTTGTGCTTGAAGCGTTCTATGAAGTATGATTGACACTGCACTGCAAAGACTAACAGTCAAGCTTGAATCTCTGAGCATGTGAGCAGACAAGCAAGTCGGGAGCCGAAGGACACTGCACTCATCCAAAACTTGTTTATAAATATAGGTAACATCAAGAGTACATAACCCCCATGTACATGTATGTGGGTTGTGTACTCTTGGTAACATGTCCCCTTCTACCCGGGTACCTTTCCAGAGTACAATTGTACTTGATGTCGCGACAGGATGGACACACCCAACAGGCCAGGATCAGGCGCAACTACAATAATGTAACGCGATTTCTTGTGTTGCAGCCCCCCCCCCCCCCCCCCCACCCACACACTCAAACACACGAGACGGTGTTCCCACACTCCACAGTTCAGTGAAAGGCGGCTCTTCGACATCTCACTCTCAGAATTAGATTTCTACTGCGCGCCCGCTGTGCTGACATCAGGGAATCGTGGAAGGGTTTTCACGATTCCTTGCCCTTGCCCTTGCCTTGGTTGACATGGTAGAGGACAGATGAATTAAATCTCGCAGCTGTGCTACGACCAGAGTGAACTCGCGAGATCTACAGATCCAACGTTACGATCAGCTACCGTCCTGCTGCTTGCTTGACCTGCCAGTAACTGCCTCTCGGTCGGTGCGACTCAGAAACGCAGGTGGCAGAGGAGAGACGACGTGGACTGTGTGGGATACCGATATCTTCCTTTCTGAAAGGCTTGCTCATGCTGATGATCGGTTTCAACTTATTTGTTCGTAGCGGGCGGCGATAACGATGGCCGGTCCAAACTGTGTGTATATTTCCGTCATTGGACTGTGCTGCGGGGACTCTGAAAACCCACATCGAGATGTGGGAGTCGGTAAGTCAGCGCTGTGCACTCGCTTCATGCACCCGTCCGTGGACAGCTGGAGGGAGCTGGGGTACGACCATTCTCACTGGATGGGACAAGGTGACTTTTGCGAGCCGGAAATCAATGGCGAGCACTTTCTGTATTTCGGCGCAGCAAGACGGCGTTACCTGCCCAGAGGCCCCGTGACTACTTTTACCGATGCTGCCAAAGACCTGACAATCCATGTCATTGAACACACTACCTTCTGCAATGACGTGCTGGGTAGGTCATTTCCAGGTGGTGGAGTTTATGCGCAGCGAGCTGCCAGCGACCGAATCAAGTCCAGAGCAAGCGGCAAGACGTCTTACACTTGCATGTCAGCCCTAGGCCTGGGAGCTGAAGGAGATTGTCCGGTCTCTGCTGCTACTGCTGATTCTACACTGACTTCGTCTGCTGCTGCTGCTGCTGGTGGTGGTGCTACGGCCAGTGCCAGCGACTGCGACATGGCTGGGAGTGCGATCAGAAAGCAAAGCTTGCCGGACAACTTCATGAAGACGCAGTTTGGCCGGTCGGGTGGCGTTGACGGCTACGTATTTGTGCTGGATGCCAGTGCCGACCGTAAGAAACGCCAAGCACAGTGGAACCTGTGGGAGAGCTGCTGGGAGAGAATACCCAGCGAGAAGAAGTCGCGCTGCGTCCTTGTCATCAGCAAGTGCGACGAGCTGGATGGAATTGCATTGGACAAGACGTGGAATATCATGGAGCATTTCACACCGGCTGCTGGCAGCTCCCAGGGTACAGTGCGGCGGGGGCGGTCATACAAGATCTTCGGCTCCGGTAATGACAAGCTCCATGACTGCCCGGCAAAGCTTGCTGTTGCTACCAAGAAGCACACCGTACCTGTGTTTCTGACATCGGCAGAGGATTGTGTCGGCGTTGATCAGCCATTCCTCTATCTGGCACATCTGGCATTGAAGCTGCACGGCCGCCCGCAGGCCTCAGTCAAGTGGAAGCAAGCTGTCCAGATGAGATGCGACCAGCAGAGGCAAGCATTGCTGTCTTTCCTCGGCTTCCTGAAAGCAAATGTGACGAGCCACGCGGCGACCTGGCGCGCGCTAGCAGAGGGCAGTAACCACGGCAACGATGCGAAGCTCACGTACTGTCGGCAAGTGAATGGGCTTGAGATATGCAAGGCCGCGTTCAAGTCCCACTTGTTTGCTCTGATCTTCGACGAGGCGGAACAATTGGGCGGCGGACGGCGAGCGCGGAGAGCCAGCACAGTGGTACAGCTAATAGAGCACCGACAGCGTAGATCCTACATTCAGCTGCAGCAGGAGGATGATAGCTTGCAGGACGGTGAAGTCCTGTCTGCTGCGTTGAGTCTAGCCATGAAGCATGAGGACCTGATGGACTACACGCATGCCAAGGACAGGTAAGATTGTAACACTGACGCTATCTCCAGTCCTACCAGGTCAGAAGGGGCTTGTATTCGTGTTGGAACAAATTCAAGAGCACACACACACACACACACCACACAGATGGGCCACTGGACCGCTAAAAAGTTTGAAAAAAAACCCCGAGCGCAGATTGTCTAGTCTCTTGCAACCACTCTTGTTCCTGTACACCTCCTGCCTGCTTCTGCAGTATCGTGGCATGCGCGCACCAGATTGACCCCCCCTCCCCCCCCCCCCCCCCCCCCGCTCATTGTTCAACATGCCATCCTGATGGTATTCTAGACTGCTGCTGTTAATGTTGGACGTTCCTCTGCATTCCCGACACAGGGCTCCTGGAGATGGTGATATTGGCAACTATGAATGTTTGCGCCGCTACATGGCTAAGATGAAGCACAGAGTGAGCACGATCATTGACAAGTGCGTGGAAACGCCGGAGGAGGCCAGTCTAGAGGAAGTCGAAGCGAGGGAGTTGGCCGGCGAAGCGACCGGAACTGCCGTTGCGCCCGGTTTGCTGGACGGTGAGTATGCCGCTAGGTCATCGGAGACCTGGAGGAAGCTGGAAGCACATCTCGTTCGCTTTGTCGCCAGACTTGAACGTGCCGGCGGCGTCTACGAGCCGCTTGTCGACAAAGATTCTGATTCCGGTTTTGCTGGTCAAGATGGCTCGGGTCAGAGCCGTACACGACCGGAAATGGTAAGTTAACCTGTCAGTACATGTATCAGATATGCTACTTCAGTACAGTAATTATGTGGCTGCTTCGTTGGTACAAATGTTGTTTCAAATCGGCAAACAGAGCGTGTAAAACAGCAGTACAACATGCCAAGAACATACGTATTTGTAAGGAGGTTTTCGGTCTACTGCTTCCTTCCTGGCGCCAATGCTATCGTGAAACATCTGTTTTGACAATATTCCTGAGTTTAGGGTTGAAAAATCAGTCTTGATATGGTCAGTTTATGCCTGTATAGACTGGAGTTGGCTTGGTAGTTGACAATTGAAAAAATAAGAGCCCAGTCTCCAATAATAGCCCAGTCTCTAGTAGGGCTGAAACGCATGCTCAATGGAGCGAACGAATATTCTCTTTCTGAATACGTGTGAAACGAAGAATATTCCGAATATTCTAAACCAGACTATATCCATGGATACATAGTTGCATCCATGGTAACCATAGACCATCAACTGGTGTATACCCCAATTACAGGAGGGACATTTGAAAAGGACAATGTTATCATTTGTCTTGCTGATGACAACACATGGAAGGTGGCAATCTCACCCACTTTCTGCACCAAATAAGCCTGTTCGATATCAAAAAGGCGAGTTTCTGTACATTTACGAATATCCTTATTCTACTCTAGCAAAGAATATTCTTTTTCCAATCTGCACATTTCGAATATTCGACTATTTCGAATATTCCTTTCAGCCCTAGTCTCTAATAGTAGCGCGGGTAGAGCTGTCACTGAAAAAATAAGAACCCCGGGCTCTTATTAGAGAAAATACGGTGTGTGTGTGTTTCCCTAAATGTTCCCTAAACATGGATGCGGGTATTGGACAGTCTGCAAAAGACCATGCTGTATGGGTGCACTGACCTGTTCGGCCGCACTAGCCCGTAAACTGATGTACAAGTTGTAGTTGGTCAACCACCTGTGGATGTGTGTTGACTGCTCATACAGGCCTCCTAGTGATTATAAATACCTACGGACATACTAAGCATTCATAAATAAAAGCATGCGTGCACACATGCACACATGTACACACACATACATGCACACACAAACACACATACACACACACGCACCTGTCCTGTCCTGTCGAGCCACTGCCACAATGGTCACGCGGGCCCCGGAGGGGCAACGGAGAGAGAAGAGGAGAACACCGTCCCACGGCGTCCGGGACACAAACAACGAGAGGTCGCCAGGATTCAGGTCACCTACGGCTGTTACCACGAGACTGACGTATAGCCGGGGGAGAACCTGAGCAGCAGTGTCTATTCCTGCCCTGGACCGAACAGAAGCAGCGGCCACAGGACGCACAGTGCGCGCCACAACACGGCTCCACTGCGGCTGGGTACTGAGCCACACACTTGTGACAGGCAAGGCCACCACGGCTCAAGAATCAATGGCCGCAGCGATCACACGGACATGCTCCGCGCTGTTCATTCACTGGCTTTGCACGCTCTGCAGTGCACTTGTGCCTGGCACGATCCTGGGGGTGCGAGAAAGACCTCTTGCACACAGAGCAGTTGACAGCGGCAGCCGGACCCCTAAGACGCTGATGCATCTTCTTCTTTGCGCACACACATACACACACACCAGGGGTGTCGGAAGGTATTTTAGTGTGCTACGGTCAGCAATCTGAAGTACAATTTACTTGTGGGGGAGGGTTGCTGAGCCGAAAACTTTGGAAATTTAGAGCCCAGATCAGTGTATTTTATCGATTCACGGGGTACCTGGGGCAAAAAGTGGTACGGTCAATACCGTAGTGACTGTACCGTGTCCAACGCCCCTGCACACACACACACACACACACACACACACACACACACACACACACACACACACACACACACACACACACACACACACACACACACACACACACACACACACACACACACACACACACACACACACACACACACATGCCCACGCACACACACACACACACACACACACACACACACACACACACACACACACACATATACACACAAACATTTGTGCGCGTGTGTGCACACGTATGAAGACAGGCACGGACGGGGAAAGCTAGTTTCTGCATGACACCTATAATGTATTACAGTCAAATCTGCCGTTAGCGACCTCTGCTGTAGGCGACCATCTACCGTTAGCGACCTCTGCTGTAGGCGACCATCTACCGTTAGCGACCTCTGCTGTAGGCGACCATCTACCGTTAGCGACCTCTGCTGTAGGCGACCATCTACCGTTAGCGACCTCTGCTGTAGGCGACCATCTACCGTTAGCGACCTCTGCTGTAGGCGACCATCTACCGTTAGCGACCTCTGCTGTAGGCGACCATCTACCGTTAGCGACCTCTGCTGTAGGCGACCATCTACCGTTAGCGACCGATTTCCCGTGCACCGACGGTCTCACATACAAACTGATCTGTCCAGAGCGACCATCTGCTGTGCGCGACCAGCGACCGCGATTTCATGCACGGTGGCTGCATTCAAATCTGCTGTAAGCGACCGCGACCCAGGTTCAGTCAGGTGCGAAACTGTACTTGCCAGTGCGCTGTCAACTGCAAGGTGTGAAAATGCGCTATCTTGCAAGTGCGATCGACTGGCCCTGGCCTGTACTGAGGCTGTGCTGTAGCTCTCAAGTCCAGGCAGTGTCGATCTACTGCCGTGTCGCATACACGTACTATACGGGCATGGTCGTCGTTGAATATCCAATAAAATGATATTAAAAATCACATTATTCTCGTCGATTTGAGTACATGGAAGCATATATGCATACCCGGTATGCCGGATTTACCATACATCTGCCGTAAGAGACCATCTGCCGTAAGAGACCGCTTTTTCTTGCACCAAGGGGCGGTCGCTTACGACAGATTTGACTGTATGTTTAGCCTACTCGGCTGCCTGTCATTGCAGATACTGTTATACAATGCAAGTCAATGAGAAGGTTGAGCTTGAAGCTGTTTTCTGATTCGAAGTACTTTTGGTCTGGCTTGATTTTTCATCTGCTGCATCTCTAGTTTGCCAGCACTCTATGATCTGCCCTGGAGTCGTGCCTTGCACAGTAAGCTGATCGATTGCCGCGTCAAGGATTTGCTGCACTTGAAGATTGCACAGTGCACATTCTGTTCAGGTTTGCAAGCATCTGAAATCTCGAAGCCACAATGTTCATCTACTACAAGTAGCAATGTGCAGTAGTGACAGTGCAACTAGCTTCCTCACGGCACACTAGCACACTGTCATCACACGCTAAGAACATGATTTTCAGCGCATGGGCCACTTTTAAAATGAACAAGCGGGAACCCGGTTATTTCGCCGATTTCTACTACACTGCTGATGATGGTGTGGCGACAGGCATACGGAGCGGGGAACCGCTTCAACAGCACCCTGCACGGTCAACGCTCCTGATTGTACGTAACGCAAGCCGCCTGCCTCTCTTTCATCCGGTTTTAAATTTCACGCACATGTTGGATGCTGTCTGCTGGGATAACGGATCAACGACCACACCACATCTTTGTAATGATAGGATATCATTGGCCTGTAGTCAAGGTCACTCGTCAAGTCCTGGTGCTAGCCATGGCAACTGTCTATTTTTCTTTGACTTTTTCCCAATCATCATTCTCAAACGATTTCTTTTGAAACTTGATTTCTTGACAAATTAAAATTCCGTTTTCTCGGCACGGGAGTGACCCAGCCGGACTAAGTTTTCTGCGTCCTTAGGATGCCACCACATTCCAATATCTAGGCAAAGATGCAGTGGGAGGTGAGAAGATCAGACCAACCACAAAGTGCATCATGGATTTTTGATATACCAGTACTAGGCTTATATATATATCAATGCTGCTGCCATCGAGGTGAATCAGGACAGTGCCCACAAACACACACACACACACACATACACACATACACCGTCACACACACACACACACACACACACACACACACACACACACACACACACACACACACACACACACACACACACACACACACCGTCACACACACACACACATCGTCACACACACACCACACCACACACACACACACACACACACACACACACACACACACACACACACACACACACACACACACACACACACACACACACACACATGCCCATCGCAGACACACCCATTGCAGGCACAAACACACACACACACACACACACACACACACACACACACACACACACATGCCCCGTATTGCAGACAAAATTCCCGCATCAAGGTCAGCAGGCAGTGTATTATGGCCACTGGCCAGCACAGACGACCCGGTGGTGTGTAATAGCTGTGTGTAATAATTACACTGCCGCACACAGTGGGTTGTGTTCAAAACTGCATGTCTTAAAATGAGCAACACATGATCAAGAGATGCTCATGAATGGCAGAACACACACTGTGTTTGGTTAGTCACTGACTGCTGCTGCTGCTGCAGTAGTTATGATATGAAGAACCTAACAAACAATGCCTTTGTAAACTTAAATTGTCATTTGGTGCTGATCAGGGCGTGCTAATAGCGCATGTCGATTTGGGTAATATAAGAAATTCTTCAATGTCAGGAGTAAAATGGTTCATGCAAACTGGTACAGCTTATCTTTGAAGAATACATTAAGAGCAACTAGCGTACAGCGGATCTAAGTTCATCATTATTTTATTGTGGTATTGTTTGAAGAAAACGACTCGATATCGACTGCTGAAGCAGACTGTGGATAAATATTGTTACTGATAATTCCACTCCACTGCTCTGTTCAATGCGAGTGACAATTCCATTGCACATAGCTGTGGACGCCGTGCTGAATTGCCCCCTCGTTGATATAGACGGCCTGAAAAGCCAACAAGCAGCTACATGCTGTCAGGTGTAAAGTCCAGCATACTCATTGTGCCGGGGTGCGGCGTCGTCATCTTCTGCAGCAGCTGACCAGTCAGTGGTTGTCATGCTGTCACCACTGCTCCCTGGGCAGCGACGGAACATCTCGGTGTGATGAAGTCGTACGTTCAGGCCGGTCGCGAGCCTTGGCCTTGCCGGCTACCTTCAACTCAACATACTCCTCGCTGTCCGTTGACCATCCGCCGTCGTCATCATGGTTGCCGTGACGACCGTGTGGCAATGGCGTGCCCCTGGGCGGGCGTAGTGGCGGCACTGGTGAATCGCGACCTTGCGCGTCAGCGCCGTATTGATTGATATACACAGTGCTGCCGCCGCCGCTTGCATTACCGATAGTGAGTTGATCTTGGAAGGTCTGCAGCTGTGCCGGAGGATGATGATGGAATCCGTACTCGGAGTCGTTGCACTCTGCACTCGGCTCTGGTGAGTTTCCACCCAACAGCCTACACAGTTGCATAGGGACATGCACAACAAAACAGTGTGTCAGTCAATTTCATCAGGGCATACACTGGTGTGTGTGTGTAAGTCAGTCTTCCTGTTTCAGCTTGTGATTTAAAAATCACAAGTTAAACGGGAAGTGTCAACGGCAGGGGGACTGTTGCTTGAATTTGAAATGACAGTTACTTCAACTACTTACTAGTGATTTTGATTAGGCTTAGACTGAGCTTAGACAGCTTAGACTGAGCTTAGACTGAGCTTAGACAGCTTAGACAGCTTAGACTGAGCTTAGACTGAGCTTAGACAGCTTAGACTGAGCTTAGACTGAGCTTAGACTGAGCTTAGACTGAGCTTAGACAGCTTAGACTGAGCTTAGACAGCTTAGACTGAGCTTAGACAGCTTAGACAGCTTAGACAGCTTAGACAGCTTAGACAGCGGCAATGCATGCGGAACGGTGTGCGGGGCAACTGCTTTGTTTTAGCAGATATGTATCATCACACTCAGCACTACCAGTTACTAGTGCGGAGAGAGAATTTTTGTCTGTTTTGAAAAAGAAGTTTTCTTTCATGATGACCAGCGTTGGCCTTCACCTCAGCCCTAACCTTTCTTTTCCATATTTAAAAAATCGTTATGACAGAGAATGCTGGATATGTATCTGTGTTATGATTACTGCTAAGAACAAGAGATGTGCTGGAGAATAATTCGAACCACCATACTTACTGTAAATAGCTGGCAGATGTGTCATCAGGATCTGGCACACCCAATGTGTACTCCCTCGCTGAAGACGACGTCGTTGAGGCACTAGTGTCGATAGCATCCATCCTCCCTGTACTCCTTACCCTGGTCATGCCTGCTGCTCCAGCCTGCGAACTGCTAGAGGACACAGTCACCACGGGCTGGCTCTTAGGTGGTCGCGGAGGAAGCCCTGGCTGTTGCTGTTGCTCCAATGCCGCGCGTCTAACTAGCCTATCAAGTGGAGTGGGCGAGCTATCACCAATGTCCGGGCCCTTATCCAGCCTGGGCATGGAGCTGTGATGGGCAGGCGACCGTTTACTCTCGGGAACCGCCGGCAGCTTGTCGTGACTGCGTCCACTGCGTGTCAGTGATGCAGTTTTGCTAAGCGTGGTGTCCAGCATGGCCTCCGGGAACAGCCCCGATGTTGTCTCCTTGTTGAATCCTGATCCCCAAGCGTTGTTGCTGCTGCTGCTGCTGACGTTGCTGCTGTTGCTGACACTGCTGCTGTTGCTTACCGAGCCATACTCCGAGTTGCCTTGGTCTCGACTCCGTTTTGGACGGACTCTGGAAACAAAGGTGATGAACACAGGGCGTTTAAATACAGTAGACTCGGGAACTGGTTGCCAAAATGGCAGGGCGTGACATGACCTAACAGTGACCGCACTCCAAACAAAAAACGTTCACATTGTGCCTTTTGCGTAACATCTTTAAAACTCGCACAATGTTCACTACGTGTATAGTCTGTTATAAGCAAGTGTGCTGTTGTGGGCCAGTGTCTGTCTTAGCCATCAATGCATCTCTCAGTCATGTATCACAAAAGAGGAGAGCTGTGGAATACACGGAAGGAAAACATGAGTGGCTGTCGGGGGAAGTGATTCCCAATCAGAACTCACCAAGCGTATCGGTCACTGTGAAACTTCATTTTTTTAGTACGAGCATCCTGGTTAGAACATGCTTTGGTCTTTGCTCTGGATGTAAATGAATTTGAGGACCCGTATCCTTTTCTAGTCCTTTTTTTACCTCGGATATACAGCAGGTTGCCTATTAAGTACTTGTACATAATATATTTTTCTACCCTAGAGGTAGCGGTTTAAACAGTGAATTTCACGGCACAAACGTTACAGCATCCAAAATTAGAATTCGACTCAGAAATGCCAGTACCATTGCAGCCCGACGTGCAAGTTGAAAACATGTGCTGGTATCAAGTGTTGCGATTGTAACTCACGGTAGGGTTGCAGATCGGTTGGAAAAGTCGTGCGAACGCTGTCGCTTTGGTCCCTGCTGATCCCAGCTGGGTATGGCTGGAGAGTCGCTCTGCACCGGCAAGACTGGGGCATAGTGATCGTCGTCATCCCGTGTCCGTATGGCGGGCGTTGGCGCTACAGTCATGCCCGGGAGCTGCGGAAGACGCACTGCAGATGCCTGATTGCTCTGGGAACTTCGCAGGGAAGCGGAATCACTGGCCTGATGGCTCCATCTACTGCCCTGGCTGTTAGCAGCACCAACGGCAGTGCCCCTCGAGCCAAACACGTTTGCGGGTGTCTGATCGATGTCCACTGCACTGGAGTAGATTTCATCGCCCAGTGCGTTGTCGTCGTTGTTGGGCCAGAACGCGTCTGGTTTAGTATGCGTTGGTGGTAATCGTGGCGGCAGCGGGTCAGACATCATGGACAGTGGGTTGACAGCAGAGTGAGAGGCTACAGTTTTGTGCTGACTATCGACCGGAGCGGTTGGACGGATGTTGAGCTCGGTCGGTCCAGATGGCTTGACACCTGCTCTCAAGTCCAGGGATGTCACGTCACTTAAAGAACAAGTTCTGCAGGGAGAAGTCAAGCAATGGATATGCAATGACTCACCATTCAAGCCATACAAAAAATACCAAAGAATTTCTGAATAACAATGAATTTCTTATGGTCGTTTCCAAACTTCGGAACAGCAGTTGCCAGGGATGGGGGGGGGGGGGGGGTGGGTGGTGGCAAACATGATACCCACCTGATGAACAATACCAGACATTTTCTTATGGCAAAGGGACACAAGCGGTACTGGTACAGCGATCTTAGACATTGGAGCACGCACATTCCCCATAGTGCTTTCAGCCTTCCCGCATACTTGCCGCAATCATACCTACCATACAGCACAGATACTACATAATTATTTGAATGATGGACTTACACTTGTGGTCTGAACGAGTGACCAGCTGAGCTGACAACGGCCGGTGACGGCGGTGGACCGGCTGGTGCAGAACCATGATGCCATTCATCTCTGGACTGTGATCTACTGGTGCTGGACGCGTGATATCCATCTGCATGCACTGCCCTGCCATACTCACTGCTGACACCATGCGTTGACCTGTCAAGGTGCGGCGGAATGATATCAATGCTAGATGCAGCGCCGGACGCGGACCCCCGGTCGGAATGTGCGTGATCGGTGCTTTCACTGCGCCGTGAGATCGGCGGCAACGGCGGTGTGTGCAGTGCTGCTGCGTCATGTGAAGAAAATCTTGGCAGCACAGGGGGGCTGCTGCTGCCGCTGCTGTTGTGTTGTGCTTCACGGCCGGTGGGACAGCGGCCGGGACAGCTTTGTGTGGATCTTGGCAGCACAGGGGGGCTGCTGCTGCCGCTGCTGTTGTGTTGTGCTTCACGGCCGGTGGGACAGCGGCCGGGACAGCTTTGTGTGGATCTTGGCAGCACAGGGGGGCTGCTGCTGCCGCTGCTGTTGTGTTGTGCTTCACGGCCGGTGGGACAGCTTTGTGTGGATCTTGGCAGCACAGGGGGGCTACCGCTGCTGTTGTGTTGTGCTTCACGGCCGGTGGGACAGCGGCCGGGACAGCAGCTTTGTGTGGATCTTGGTGGACGGCTTGGTACTGGTATATGTATCTTACAGTTTGAAGTGTCACCGGGGGAATGCCGCTTGGTCTGCTGCGGCTGCGGTTGCTGGCTTGGAGACAGGCTGCGTTGGGATTTTGGAGGACGCGGTGGTGGCTTGCTCACTGCCTGTTCGTTCTTCGGTGGCAATGGCGGTGGTGAAGGTGAGCGCTCTCTGCTTTGTGCCATCCTCAGCTCCTGCTGATATTGTAAAATGGCTGCCTGGTTGATGTATTCCGGCTCTTCAGTTATCTGGGCTCTGTCTCCTTTCCTCTCAGTTGTAGATGGAGAGGCTGCCTTTGCTTCATCCCTTGAAGCTGCACATGCACTGTCCACCGATCTCCGATCTGGTTGCGGCAACATGGGGAAATCAGCTGCTACCTCAGCTGTGACGACATCAATCTGAGGCGATGCAGCTCTTCTGTACAGTGGTCGTTGAGGTTGTTGTTGTTGCCTTTGCTGCTGCTGCTGTTCAATATTGCAATCTGGTGAAGCAAGCCGTTCAACTGCTTGCTCGGGCTTTTGTGCAGCTGCCTGTGCCTCTTGAGAACCCTCAGGCTGTAACCCTGGTGTTGAAGAGTATGGGTTTTCAACAGAACAACGCTGCTTCTGGTGACGCTGACTGAAGAGAGTGTTCAGCTCCTCAGCATTCAATGATGCACTGCCACTTCGACTACTACTGGATTGCGCAACATCGCTTTCCCACGGTGGAGCTGTATAGATTTCCTCAGTATCAGCTACTGCAGAAAGGAGATTGGAAGCCACTGAGGCTGCTCCCTGCGCAGGTGTCTGTTGGTCTGATTGAGGCGGTAGAGGGGGAGACACTGATGCACTGTTGATTGATGCCAGGAGCTGCCGTGGGTCTGAAACATAGTGGTTCTCCTTTTTACGCTCAGCTGAGGTTGTTCGAGGGGGTGAAATTGGGACACCACTGACTGAAAGTAAGAGTTGCTGAGGCTCAGACACATATGGATTCTCTGTTCTTTGCCTATCCGGTATCACTGAACTTGGGGGCAATGTATCGTCATTGCTGGCCGAGGCAGGTGCATCCGTCTCCACCGCCACCTGCTGTCCAGTTGATTGCAGTGACGCCCTGGAGGCAGTCCGGACGGACGCCAGAAACTTCTGCGGGTCAGAAACGTATGCGTTCTCCATTCGCTGTCGCGTCTCTTGCCTCTGCAGTGAGTTAGCGCGGCTTGTGGCCGCAGAGGCGTGTTCACTGTGACTGGTGCTGTCTCTACTGGTGCTGTGTGCCCCGTCGTGCCATGCATCCATCACAACATAGCTCTCATCATCAGTATCATCAACATGCTTGCAAAACCTGGCAGCCGATTGTTCCTTCTTGGCACCGGGACCAGGGGACATGGGTTTGATGGCACTGCTTAACTCATCAGTTGACGGAGCAGTTGAGTAGATGTTTTCCTGCTGGGACCTGTCATAGAATCCTTTGCGATCGCGGGGCTTTCTGGATACTGTATCAACCTCCTCATAGCTGTCTTCATCAGATCCCAAGTCAGCCATGCCTGCTCTGCTGCTCATGGCGTCAAGCACGGGTGGCGGATTTGTTGCAAAAACATCTGTCAGTGTCCTGCCCGGTTTTGGTGGCCGCGGCGGCTCTTCTGCTACATCTGGCAGTGCTGCTGCTGCTGCTGCTGGCAAAGGCGGCGGCGGGGCCTGGAGATCACGTGCCCTTAAGCTCATGCTGCCGCCAGCACGAAAACTACTCATCGCTTCATTCTCAGTGGTAACACTTGTCTGAGAGCTGGCAGGAGGTGGTAGACTTTCATCTGACATCTGCGCTGGCCAGGGGCTTTGTCTAGCTGCGACGTGAACACGGCTACCATACTGGAGCTGTTCTTGCTGGAAAGAGGAGTGAGAGGTGGTGGACTGGGGCAACGAGTGTGTAGCCATGTCACCTCCATGCAGGCTAGAACTGCTCAGTTTACTTTGGTCAGCCAGTGAGTTAGAGTCCAAACTCCATGGGTCTATGATCTCGTACGTGTCTTCAACATCGACTTCCTCGTCGCTGCACATGGGGTCAATGCTTGCCGGGGATGACCCAATGCTTGTACTAGCTTTCTTCTTCCTCATCCTCCTCTTCTTGGTGTGTGTGTTCGTGGGTGGCACTTCAGTTCGGTCAGTTACTGGCCACTGTGCCTGGTCTGCAGAAGCCGTGCTGTGACCCGCCGAGATCTTCTTTTGCTGGGTTACCTTGCTCAGTGCTCGGCTCAGCAATGAGTCAGACGTCTTGGGCAAGTTCACGTGCTGATAAATGTTCTCTGCCTCCTCCGATGTGGTCGGCAGCTTGAAGTCGTCCACCCTGCCATACAGACTCTCTTGATTATCGCGGCTCTGTGAAGTGGTCCTGGACAGGTCAGACATTGTATGCCTTGATCGCTCTGCGTCCTTTGGAGTTCGGCCAGATGACGCCAACAGTGTTCGCGTGTTGTGTTGTGACGACTTGTCCGGCTTTGCACAGGAGCTTGGTTTCCCACTGCAGTAGCATTCAACAACAATGGTGAAGACCATAGCAATGTCCACAATTGCAACAACACCAACAGCAGCAGCAGGAACAACAACGACAACGGCGACAACATTAACAACAACCACAGAGTTGAAACAGCAGGAGCAATGAATCATCTCATATTTTCAATGTTCCTTTTATTTTACTTTAACAATTTCGCAACCTCTCTCTCCCTCTCTCTCTCTCTCTCTCTCTCTCTCTCTCTCTCTCTCTCTCTCTCTCTCTCTCTCTCTCTCTCTCTCTCTCTCTCTCGCTCGCTCTCTCTCTCTCTCTCTCTCTCTCTCTCTCTCTCTCTCTCTCTCTCTCTCTCTCTCTCTCTCTCTCTCTCTCTCTCTCTCTCTCGCTCTCTCTCTCTCTCTCTCTCTCTCTCTCTCTCTCTCTCTCTCTCGCTCTCCCTCTCCCTCCCCATCCACTCTTGGTGCGTCTAGATGGCTATGAAGTCGAGACCTTAGGTCGGCGGAGCTCCCTAAACCTCACCACCACTGCCACGAATCAGGTGGTGCGTGCTTTCCCTAGCTGCATCTCATGTTTGGCATTTTGGTCTTTGTACAACAAAATTTAAAAAAATGCATTCAGCAGAGAAATGTAGCAATGTCGGTGGATCACACACAATTTGAGTCACTAAATATTACCATACTTCATTTCGGAATTGTGTGTTGCTCCCTACATTCGAGCTTAGGCTTTTCCTGCTGACTTGACTAGACACTTCATACTTCATTTTGTCAATGCATACGGACAGTACCTTTCCTTCCACTCGGCCTACATTATGCATACAATGTTCAGGGATGAACTTACTAAGACCTCAGATGGTGAGCCTAGGAAATGTTTTTGTAACATGGGCAAAAGTTATGCGATCGACTGCACCAACTAAACCAGATTTTGAACAGTCAGACGTGCACAATCTAGCTCATGCCGTGGAATGTCTCAGTACTCCCTGTAAGTTTTGTGCCAGATTGTGCATGTCTGACTCTTCAAAATCTGGTTTAGTTGGTGCACTCGATCGCATAACTTGTGCCCACAATTTCCCATGTTACAAAGATGAATTTACTGCTATTTTGTGCGCAGAAGTTGTTGTCATTAGATATGTCAGCACACAGCTGTAATGGGTACTTCTTTGGTGCATCACTCCTGGCTGCATGACATCAACCCCACCCCTGCATCCTCCCTCTTCCTTAGTTCCTTTTCAAGACGAAGTAATAGTTATGGCACCTGCCCCCCCCCTTTTGTACAGGGGAATATTTTCAGCTCCTTTGGAATACATCACAGTGCAGGCTATCTCAGGACTATCTACAATGTGTACCTGGATTTGAGCTCCTGCATCTGCAGGTGATTCTGTGCCAGTCGAGCCGTGTAGGAGCGATCCCGTGCTGCTGGGCCCAACTCATCTTCAGCAGGGTCAGCAGCGTTCGGCGGCCTGTGGAAGATGCTTTTCTTTCCCGTGTCCTTGCTGTCTTTGGAGATACCTGCACTGGCGCCTCCAGTTGGCTTGGTCATGGCTGACATTAGGCTCAGCTTGAACAAGGACTTGCACACTCGTAGTCCGTGGATTGAGCGGCCCATCTCCAGTGGTCCACTGGCTTGAACCTGTGTGATCTCCATCCATGTAACCGTGTGCGATGTGACGTGGCGGCTGAAGAAGCTCTCCAGAGCCAGGATGCTCTTCTGTTCCAGATCCTTGCGAACGCTGACTGCACGCTCCCATCTCAGTGGGCCAGGAGCTGCTCCCGACAGGCATTGCAGCTTGTGAGCAAGGTGCAGAAAAGGCGCATCCACTCCCACCGCTTGGCTGGCTGATGTGTAGAACACAGGTAAAGTGTACGCACCACAGGTGATGGCTTGTTTACCTGGGCAGTCGAGAAGTGCTGCTCCCGTGGTACTGCTCTCCTCCAGCGAGTCAGGCGAGAAGTAGTCGATCACGTTGAAGCGATTGTCCAGCACGATTTCCGATGGCACCTGGTCGCATTTCGTGAGGACTATGGCGCAGAACTCTCTCCGCTCCCTGGGAAGCTGCCGCCAGCATTCTTCCAACACACGCCACTGTAGGGTGCGCGATTGCGGCGATGCAGTCGGATCCAACACAAGCAGAACTCCCTGCACACCACCATCGCCCCACGAGTTCTCCTCGCCAAATTCGGCCGGGAAGTGTCGTCGAGTGCTGTCCGCAGACAGCTCGCTTCTCCTCGCCCCTCCAAGCAGTGATTGGCCTTGGTAGGAGCACTTGCCAGCCGACTGTAGTCTGATGCACGTTGCTCGCTTGGCATAGTGACCTAAATCGCCAGCACCAGGGCATGTCTTCAATGTTTCCTTCTCCACAAATGTTGTGTGTTCGACAACATGCACCTCAACATTGACGGTCTCCGCGCGTCGACCTTTGGTACTTTTGCCCGGACAGTACTCACGCTTAGCCACTCCGAAGTATAGAAAGTGATCGCTGTTCACTTCAGGTGACTGAAATTCTTCCTCGCTGAGAACGTGCGAATGATCTTCGCCCAATTCTTGCCAACTGTCCGCGTCAGCGTTGACGAATCGCGAGCAAAAGCTGGACTTGCCGATGCCTGCTGCATGTGGCCTCGTACTGCGGCATAGGCCCACGACAGCCAGACGACTCACGCACGCATTGGCACGGCTCATATTTACCACCAAGCTGTCACTCAGAGAGAAGGGCGGGTGAGCTCCTCGCTGCTGCCTTCCTTCTCCCACTCGCGGTAGCGATTGCCTTTTTCTGCCTTTCTTTCTGACTCTTTCTGACTCTTTCTGACTGCTGCTCCAAGTAGCTACGGAGTGTTTGCGATGTTGTGGCTGCTCGATGTTGTGTTTGGACTGACGTGTGGCACTGCTGTTACTAATGCTGCTGCTGTTGCTGTTGCTGCCGGGATAGTGTGTCTTGGCTGACGACGTACCTCAAGTTCCTGAGAAACAAGCAGCTCAGCTGACCACATACAAACAGACAACAGGCAAACCTGAACAGCAGCTAACCAGCGGCGCAGCCCAACCAGCATTTCAGTCAGCTAGCAAGTGTACTTGTTGAAAGCACCAGCATATCCCTGTACCTGCCAGCCGTACACACAGGCACTAGTGGCTAGGGCCAGTAGGGGTTGCAGTATTGCTGGACGGAGTCTAGCTAGGAGAAGTCTCCGGACACACGGCGAACCAGGTGGAAGCGAGAGGAAGGTACCGGTAACTCGATGACGAATCTAGTATGAGCTTGAGGATCACGAACCAGCAGCACATAGCCACACCACAAACACAGCGAGTAGATCTACCACACAGTCGCAGTCCGCTACTCCTAAGCCAAGGGCAAGGCATGAGCTAGCCGTGCATACGTCGACGCTGCAGGATATGCGACTGCGACTTCGAGAGGCAGAGACAGACAGAGACAGAGATAGATGTAGATAGAAGTGGCAGTGGATGAGTGATAGACTGGGAATGCGTGGGGGGCACCCGGATTCGCCTGTTCCACTGGCCGACACTCTGCTCTCTAGCTATCCACCTCACTCCTCAGACGTGTCCACATGCGACGCGTCCGAATTGCCTTATATACACACGAGCAATGCATCCGGAGTTCCCGCGTAAACACTACTGACCACTCTACTGTACTCGAATCGTCCTATATGGCCTAGTGCATGCATAGTCTTCCAACTATTGCAGATCAAACGGAATCAATATGGTGATCATGGAGGTGATGGAGGCATTGCATTGACTGACAACCAATGTGATTCGTATTACGTGTACAATGCATAGTCGGATAGTCCCATGGCCCAGGTACGTATCCTCGGACACCAGGACGGTAGTACTACATGTGCGTCCATCCATCCATGCCGTGTTATTTATACCCACGCTTGCCCGGTGACTGGATCATTTCATCATTGGTTCCAGTCCAGACTGCCAGTATTCAGGAGGCTTTCGTGCAGAATGTTGTATTCACTTCCAGTCACATACATGTACAGTGATCAGGGGTGAGTAAAGCTGGGGCGATAAGCACCAACAGGATTTGGAGGGGAGATGGACACTGACATAACAGGAGTCTCGCTGGCACGAGGTCAGAGAAGGACCACTGCACTTGATCGATGGCGATGATGGAAACACAGGCCTGCAGTCACGCACAGGCGTACTGTCATGTCCTCAGTGTCATTACACTGTCCAGCAGCGGGTCCTCACGAATGAAAACATATCCGTTACCTTGCTTGCTACTCTGGCTTTCATGACCTTTTTAAATAGACAATAATTATAACTATCTACTGCTGAGAAAGGGGCATACAGATCATTGCAAGATACACCCCGACCCATACCGGCATAGAAAAGTACCAAAAGAAAACAGATGAGAAGTGAGAATTACAGGCACCTGCCTTAATACTAATACGAAGGCCATAGCGGCCACGGCGGGTAGCAATAGTGTGGATAACACTCTGCAGACTGGGCAGACTGGGCAGACCGGGCTGTGAAGTGAAAATGTCAATGCCATGTGTCTGTACAGTATTGCCACTGTAACCGGTTTTGATCAATTTTTTGTTGAGATATTGTGTCATAATTATGTAAGCACATTTGCTTTGCCCGTACAAGAGGCTTTTCGTACTGGTGAGGCTACAGTATTGTGTTGCACGAAGATTGCATACCGTCATGCGCATTCATACTCATACTCGGTGTTTTTAATCAATGGCGTCAGTGATAGTCATAACAACATCACAATCACAAGTGCAAGGTCTCGATAAAACCATGCATAATGGCTTTACTGTATCACGGGTGCACATTTCCTAGGCTGCTCCCCAGTTCAGAGCAAGGCGCCAGACACCCATCAGTCCATCGCCATACAACTGGACATGGGGCAGGACCTTCCTGGACGTACATGTAGCTTCAGGACATTGCCTCATCTTTCACAGTGAGAAACTACAGCCACTGTTTTTAGTATCATGTAAAAAGAGTTTTGCCGACTAGAATTTAAGAACATGCATGTTACAAAGGCTGATGTCTTGAAGAGGAACAAACTTGTACTGTACTCTGATGAGCATGTCCCACAAACCCTCAACGCTGATGACCTATAATAATCCTATTGAGGAGAGAGATAGAAATGGAGAGAGAACACCTGAGAGAGAGAGAGAGAGAGAGAGAGAGAGAGAGATAGAGAGAGAGAGAGAGAGAGAGAGAGAGAGAGAGAGAGAGAGAGTAAGTTACATTTATAAAGACAGGTAAGTCTAACAAATGAGGACTGAGACCTCTACAACAGGGTTTTTACGCCTGAAAGCAGGTGCATGATTTAACAAGCAGGTTGTCAGTCTAGATTTTATGCGCAGATGGCAAAAAAATGCGCAGAATTTTAGTAATGAGATGAAAAGCAGAAATAATAAGAGAGAGAGAGAGGAAGAGAGAAAGAGAGAGAGAGAGAGAGAGAGAGAGAGAGAGAGAGAGAGAGAGAGAGAGAGAGAGAGAGACAGAGACAGAGACAGAGACAGAGACAGAGACAGAGACAGAGACAGAGACAGAGACAGAGACAGAGACAGAGAGCGAGAGAGAGAGGGAGAGAGAGGAGGAGGAGGAGGAGGAGGAGAGAGAGAGAGAGAGAGAGAGAGAGAGAGAGACCAAGGACCACGCACGGACGTCATGGCTCAACCGCGGAGCTAGCTGTATTAGTCATGGGGTAAGCCTTCACTTGGCTTTGTAAGGATTGTACATGATTGTACATGATTGTACATGATTCAACTACTTGTAACTACTTCAAGGACTGATGTGCGGCTAGGTGATACTGACCACGTGACATGTACTTAGTAGAGATCCACGGGCAGGCTTGCGAGACGGTAAAACTGTTCACAAGGGCCCGGGCAAGGGTTTCCCTGGCAAACACATACCAGCCTAACAACTCGACTGGGCGTAACAGTTATCACTTGTCCTGCACCCTAACAGTAACAACGCTTGCAGTGTTTCTGCACGCCACCAATGTTACCATGTACATGTACCAGTAGACCACAGGCTCACCTTGCACGACCAATTACTGATTACAGAGCAGCCATATGCACTACGACACATGAGAACATACACATTGAGAACATCACGCACATACCGACACACCAACTCACCCATCAACCTGTCCCTTCAGAATTTCAACCAACTACCCCCCGACCTGCGTGAAACAAATAGCAAGCATGCGTTTAAATCAATGGCGTCTAGCCTCATTCTATCATCCATGTGCTCCTGTAGTAGCTCACACTGTACCCCATCGTAACCCCATCCCCCTGCAATGTGTTGGCTTCCTTACTTGCTAGACTGATTTTATATGATCCTGGACTGATTTGAATCATAATTATTATCTTCCTTATTGGCCATGGGCCATCGTGGAAATAAAGAATAATAATAATAATAGTCATGACTGTCATGTCTATAGTCTCTAGCAGTTATAACACGGTTAGAGTGAGTAAACTTACAGTACACAGTCCATAATACCATACAGTACTCCATAATCATGACCAAGGGCAGGGCAGGGAGTGGTGAAAGCCCGGTCAACTGCTAGCGTAAAACTAAAAGTGTAGTTTTTAGAGAATAAATACTGTAATCATCAATATCAAGAGTACATAAACCATACATGGTTTATGTACTCTTGTCATTATCAATATCATACTACACGGTACACAGCCTGTATACACTGACTGTGCTCATATCAGACTAATCACACCGTTGCCTGCGTGCAGGAAATCAGGAATGACTTTACTGACAGCAAGAGTTCATAACCCCCGGGGTTATGAACTCTTGCTGACAGCATTACAAGTAGTGTGCTTCGTGTGCCAAACTCAGTGTTCAGTACTGCAGTTCAGCCGCTAGCAGCAGCACTGCTTGTATTTTGAGTTGGGGTTTGAGTCGTTACAAGGTCCTGTACTGGCATCTTTACAGTTCTATTTTGCTACTTGGGTGGTGGCAGATTCAAAGGACACCGTCTGACTGTCACCGGCATGGTCAACATGCCACGGATACTGCTCCCGGCAGCATATCGTCGGCAATGACCCAGTCCTGCTTAGGAAGTTAGTACAGTGATTGAGCATTACTAGTATTAGCCAGGAAGTATTCAAGGAGGCTGGATGCGGAACGTTCTCCCTCAGGGCAGTGTGGCTCAGTGAACTGAGTGCTGCTCATGCCAACCTAAACCCGGGACTACGGTCATGTACAGTCTGCAGAAACTGCACAAGCATCTTTCAAGAACAACATACCCGGTACCGGGCTGGAGCCTGATGTAAGTAACAAGTTATTGTCACGTACATGTACATGACATTGTACACTGTTTTAGTTTCCTTATACAGTGACGTGTTCTAATAACTGCTAATTCTTCATCCAGATTTGTTTCTCTTTGCCTCCAGTAACGTGTAATATTTATTTATTTTTGCTTTGTTTTTGTTTACTGCCATGGCTGGCTACCGCCCCCCTCCCTCCATATTATTGGCCTATATTCTCTGGCCACGGGAAGGTGAAATAAATAAATAAATGTACCAATGCATCAATTCCCTGCAGGATACCAACATCATGCATGCTGAATAGCACTTTTACACTGTTGATTAAGGCAGCGGAAAGAGCGTTTCAAAGAGCCCTAGACTGTCAAAATCAAGCAAACAGAACGTAAGTTATGGTGGAAATGGTGGAGTGAACTGCAATTGCGCATTTTCACGCGTTCAGTGGCACCTCAAAGGGTTAAAATCGATCGTCCATGTTGGCCACCAAGTGCCATGCATCATCATGATCATGGATTACAGTATATGGGTCCCGCGCACGGACAGAATGGGCACGAAAATGTGAAAAAATTGTAAATGCATTTGTTTGGCTCCTGGGTGGCTCGCACACCGTGGCACTATGCCGGAAATTTGAGTTTTTCCGGCCTGGAAAGCCTGTCAGTGAGGCGCAAGAACTTGTATCATGTCCTGAGGGCCAGCATAGTGGCAGGTGTGTGTGGTCAAAATTTCACTCAAACCCATTGAGAAACACCAAAGTTACGGTCAATTGAATGCCATATGAAATTTATGGGTAGTCTGCCCCCTTAAGTTAACTCAACAATGTACTTGATAATAGTGTAATGGATAGTATGTAGTGGAATTACTGAGTACCATGGATACAGAGTACTGCATCATTCTAATAGAATTAACATAGTCATGATGTTTGAGGAGACACCTGTCCTTGGCGGGTGCAGCTGCGTACAGAACACGATAGTATCACATCCTGTAGATGGTTATCTTCTCATGTACAGTGCGTGCTCTGGAGCCTGGCTGATCTTTAAAGGGGAAGTTAAGGCAAAAATTAAAATTTCACCAGTTGTAGTTTTCGGGGTGCTGAGTCGAATGGTCTTGGTCCGAGAAAGCTGAGACGCTCCCTTCCTGCTTGAATCCCAATCGAACTCGCGCACTTCCACCGAAACTGGGTGACTGCGCCCTACTAGATGGGGATTTGTATGCAAAATGTCACTAAAAGCGCCGTTTCGTTCTTATAAAAGCACGGATGACCGCGATTGGCCCATATGTTGTAGTCTTTTGGACGCTGAGTCGACTGGTTTTGGTCCGAAAAGGCTGCGGTGCAGCGTTCCTCCTTTATTCCCAATCGAACATGATTGAACAAGTGGTCACGTGCTCCTGGGTGCCCAAATCACCTGGTCACACCGGCAGCAGGCGACAACTTTCACACCAAGGTTCAACTCGAGTTCAACTCGAGTGACAGGAGTGCACCCAAAAAGGTCAAACAGGCTAGTAAGTTGTACCCTGCAGGCACGGTGACCAGCTGACTGGTGTACGCAGGAGCACGTGACCGCTTGTTCAGCCATGTTCGATTGGGAATAAAGGAGGAACGCTGCATCGCAGCCTTTTCGGACCAAAACCAGTCGACTCAGCGTCCAAAAGACTACAACATATGGGCCAATCGCGGTCATCCGTGCTTTTATAAGAACGAAACGGCGCTTTTAGTGACATTTTGCATACAAATCCCCATCTAGTAGGGCGCAGTCACCCAGTTTCGGTGGAAGTGCGCGAGTTCGATTGGGATTCAAGTAGCAAGGGAGCGTCTCAGCTTTCTCGGACCAAGACCATTCGACTCAGCACCCCGAAGACTACAACTGGTGAAATTTTAATTTTTGCCTTAACTTCCCCTTTAAACTGGAATTGTATCCAACTTGGACGTTTGCCGAAGCTCTCGCATATGTGTAGCACATACATGATCTTCTTTTGTGCCGTATTGTAGTTGGAGTCTGCAGATGATTCCGATCGAGCATTCCTCGACATTGTCATGCCGCTAGGCTACGGTGTTTTATGGCCTGCACGCTCGTCCATCTAGATGTGCATTGCTGGAGGCAACTCATGATTCTCTGGCAGTGGGTCAAGCTGGATGTATTGTTTAGACTTGGAGAATATCCTTGAGAGGGGAGACAACACAGGATAGAATAGATTGTCGGTGACAAACGTAATCAGTGAATGGTGTCATGGGCCGAACTGGACAATGATGAAGTTACTTTGAAGTAGCTGATAGAAGATTGCCACTGCAGCAATACATGCAGAATTGCAGCAATCATGCTTCAAGCCTCTTGAGGTGTCGAATGTTTGCGCAACATTCTACCTCAGACAATAATGTTGCACAGTGGGTGACCTAAGTGAAACAGCAAAGGTCGGTAAATATGCATAATTATGTATAATTCATTTGGGCTTGTCAAATTGCACCCCTGCAGGTGCAAATGCTGAGCTCTGCATGGCTCTACCTAGATTACCCGTGTATATCCCCAATAATGTACAAATCAGGATATGGGTCACCAACAATGAAAGCTCTTGCATCGCGTGGTGACCAGGTCCACATCAATTTCCGATCAAAGCTACCCTTTCTTCTTACCTCAAGCGCTGATATAATTTAGGCTTTGACTTTGCATATTGAGCTACCCTGGCTGGTTGCAGTGACGTGTCGGATTTGGTTTTCCACTGCCCACTCAGCGCATTGACTTTCGTTGGCCCAACTGATGTGGTATGGTTGCTTTCACCACTGCTTTTGTCAGCCTCGCTGGTGGTACTTCCATCGTCACTGCTGATGCTTCCCCCAGATGATGACTCGCCTGATGACTCGCTTGAAACGACTGCCTTGTGCTGGTGTTCCCAAGCCTGGCATCTATCTTTGCTGCATGTTGTTAAGTCCGACATGTGCTGGAAAGTTGCAGGGTATGCTGCAGACAGCGGTATGCATATCTGCTCCAGCAGCTCATCAGATAGGTAGCCGTACTCATCTTCACCGTCATTTTCACTGTCACGCGACTGACCATATTTGCACTGTCCTGCAGCGCTGATGTGCTCATACCCTGGTGGGTGATGTACGTGTGTAGCCACTGCAGGTGCCATTGCCACAGGAGCTCTGCTTTCAACTGCGTCGGTGCTCTCCGGACAGCCTTCGCTGACAGCTTTGGAGTTCATGAGTGAGCCAGAGTTGTGGTGCATGTCAGCCGCTTGCTCATTCGATGGCGTAGGTGCTGTAGCTGGCCATGTTGATGACCAGTCTGAGTCCCGCTCAGTTGAAAGGACATTGCTTGACTGTGCGAGGTCAATATTGGGCGATGGTGTATCTGAATGTACTGTGGAGTCCATGACCGGGGTGCTAGTAGGTGTGTGTTCATTGACCGCTGTCCGACACGGGGCACAGATATCGTGCCTGCAAATGTGAAAGTAAACAAATGAAAGACATAACTCTTTTATGGAAAAGAAAAAAAAACTCATAACTGTTTGAACAAACGGTGAGGAGACAATAATTTGACAAGTGCGATCAATAAGACAAGCTGAATCGACATAAAATGTTGTGTATACTTTATATATGCAATGTAAAACGGTGGAGACATTGTGATTGCTCTCCCTTTCATTGTTAAATTTCACACTTGTAAATTTCACTGCTGTTGTTCTTAATGTTATTTCTCTAACTAAGATTTTTTAGATTTAGATTATAAATTTTCTATAATAGTTCAATTTTGTTTCAGTGTCCTTTAGTACAACGACGATTCCTGATGAGTGTTGTATGAAAACTTGTTTGAATCCTAATTTTTCTCTACACTATTTCTTCCTATTTTCATCGTTGTATTTCTCCACCGTTTTGCATTGCATGAATAAAGCATACACAAATGTCAATTCAGCTCGTCTTATTGATCGCGGTTATCATAACTCTTTTTATTCTTTTTTGATATTATCGTTTTCCATTCTCTTCACAACCATGGTTACACCAACACACACATGATGCACACTGGCCACTGTAGTTGCATCATCGAAGGATTACAACATCATAACATATGCCATGTCCGTAAATATCGAACTTTTTTCACCAAACGAATTATTTTAGTGTAGACTCAACCCCTCCCTCCCTCACCCTCAGAACGAAAAAATGTTGACATACATGCATATACAACGGCCATGTACATGAATCAATGTTTTCTGAAACGAAATTGGTCAACCCCCACCCACCCCATAACGAAATTATTTCGTTTTATGAAAAAAGTTCGATATTTATGGACAACCCCTAAGGTTGTGTTTAAAAAAATTATCAATCTTTTCATGTAACGGAAAGATTTTGCCTGGAGTGTGTGGTCAAGCTCATTATGTCATGTCAATCTTACCTCTTCTTCTCAACGGTGCTCAGCCTCAGGTCTGGGTGAGATTGAGCTAGCTCTGTTAGGTAGCTCCTCATTTGCTTACTCTTCCTCGTCGGGTCAAATTGGACGATGCCGTGCACAACTTTGTTGGCAATGTCCTGCTTGAGGCGGCGCTCGGCGGCGGGGATGGTCAGATGTACAAGGTGGGATCGGAACAACGACCGACACACATCCAGTCCGTGGCGGCGACGACACGACGCCATCCTGGGGTCATCGAATACCTCCAGCTTGAGCTGGTCCCACTGTGCGGTGTGTGTGGTGACACTCTTCTTCAGATAGCTATTGGCCGATAGCAGAGAATTCTGATCCAGCTGCTGTTTGTCTCTGATCAGGTCTGGCCAAGTAACTGGTGATAGCCTAAGACCTGGCAGCTGAAGACAAGCTTTGGCCAAGTAGAGGAAAGGCACGTCCACGCCGCAATTCTGCGTTGCCGACGTCAGGAATACTGGAACGATGCACTTTCCACACCGGATTGCTAGCTTCCCGGGGCAATCGTGAAATTTCACTATCTTTTTGCCCTTCCTAGGAGTTGGTTTCTCTTGTTGAAAGAAGCTGACTATGTTGAAAGCCTTGTACAGTGCTAGCTTCTGTACGACAGCATCACATTTGCTCAAAGCAATGGCGCACTTGTCTCGCTTCCTGGCTGGAAGGTTTTCCCAGCATTCTGCAAACACCTGCCATTGCTTCTGGCGCAGGCCAGCTGACTTGCTTGGATCCAGAACGAAGAGATACCCATCAACGCCAGCAGCCCGCTTGGAGTACTTGTCCGGGAACTTTGGGTGTTCACACATGACCCGCTCACATCCTTGACCTGCTGAAATGCCCAGGCGCGATCTGCAGCTGTATGATGCCTTACCAGAAGTCTGCGACTGCACAACACTGCTAGTTGATCTGCTGGTATAGTCGCCAGCACCTGGGAAAGGCCGACCACGACTGTCGTCAACAAACACTGTGTGCTCCGTAACATGAACCTTCAGTTGTACTGCAGCAGCAGCACGCTCAGATCTGGAACCCTTCTCCACATGACGACATTGTCGCTTTGCAGCTCCAAAGTAGACGAAATGGTCTCCGTTGATTTCCGCCTCGGAGAAGTCAATCTGGCTCAGCCAGTGCGAGTGATCGTGACCCAGTTCTTGCCAGGTATCCACGCCTGGATGAATGAATCTGCTACAGAGACTAGACTTGCCCACTCCACTCTCGCCATGATCCAGCATTGAGCAGCACGTCCCCAGGACGGCCAAGAAACATTCCTGCACTCCTCCAGTGTGTACGCTACTATTCGCTATCAGCTCTGCGGAAACACACAGTCCACTGTCAAGGGAAAAACTTCGTTTTGGCATTGTTTCTCATCAGATGCCAGAGAAGAAACTCAGTTCTATCGTGTCGCTAAGAACTCGGTCGTCTGATTTACATCACTTCATATCGCTCTAAATACCACCACTCGCAGTTTCCCGAAGGTCCGGTCACTGCTTGCATGCGACTCGTAGTCTGTAATTCATCACCCTAAACAGGCGATATGATGATAGACAGTTACCGGTACGGCTGTGGAGTGCTGTGTGGGAAATTGCGTGAGCGCTCTAATGTCGACACATCAGCACACCCTGGATTTTGTCACTTTCGCACCACTTCTGGCCGCAATGGGCGGCAGCTTATGCTACACGGCCGCCGCAGAAGTGACACACTGGGTCTGGTAGCTACTTTGTGCATAGCTATAGCCGTCCGAAGCCCTTGTTCGATTCGGGGGATACGAGCATTGAAACTAAGCAAGAGCATTTCCCCATTTCTGAGCTCCAAAGTTCTTGTGTCTGTGAGCTACCGTGCGTAACGTTATTGCAAACATCCACGGAGTCTGAAGACACTGATCTCTGTGTGAATACCCCTCGACCTTTGCTGCAGCGTTACTGCGCGCGCGTGATATCGGCGAGCTCTTCCGCCAGTTTCCACGAGATGATGTGACCATTAAAATTTTGTCCGCGTAGACTCGAATGCATAGTCTAAAAGTAAAATGAGTGTGTTGATAGATGTACAGTCATGATTGTACATGATTGTACATGGCATACATACATACACATGTACAGACAGTGTAGGTCTACGTATTGAATTATTTGAAGAACACAGCAGCTGACTGCTACATAATTATAATAATTATGATGGTAATCATGGATTCATGGTAGTAATCAGGCCACAGTGCCACTGGTGCGTGTAATCTACAGATCTATTGGTTCCAGTCCAGGACATGAAGGCGGAAGGCTGAACATATGGAGCAGGCAAATCCATCTGCCAATGGCACACAGCCGCCGCAAGGCCTTTCTCTCCTCTCTGTGAAGTCACCGCCGTGTGTTTGTGTGTGTCTGTGCGTGTGTGTGCATGTGGCTGGGGCGGGGGTCCCTGGAGACTGAGTTTAAAAGTTGATGGCAGAACGGCCCAAACTACAGCAACTCGTACTCGGGAAATGGCGAGGACAACAGACCAATGACTGGAAGTGATAAAAATAATGACTGGAAGTGATGAAATAATGACAGGAAGTGATAAAATACCGTAATGTCTAGAACAGGGATTTGATAAACCTTGTTTTGTTGACACATGTTATTGGTTGACAGCATGTACATGTAGGTGGAGACCACCGTGTTCAACCGTGGATGGTTGATTGTATACATATAATTATAGTAAGGTCACTGTTTTCGCCAACAAGGAGCCTCCGTGTTCTAAAAAAAAGGTGGTCTCTGCTTTGGTAATACATGCTGTCAACCAACAACACAGTACGGTGTAGGCCGGTACACGTACATGTACATGTACACTCATGACATGTGCAGGCAAGCACGGATACAAGATCAAACCACACAATACGTGTAGCGTTCATATAAATAAAATGTACATTGTACATGACTGTACATGTTCGTACACGGGATATGAGAGACAGTGGTTTTGGAGATGATGGACGAGGCCTGACAGTCGCAGAGGACCATGCTGGGTAGACATACCTACCAGCTACTTGTGAGGGGTGGGAGTTGGGGCTGTCTGCTTGCAGCTGTAGCTGGAGGAGGAGTTAGCACGCTTAGACCGTTCCCGTCCCAATTCACAGAAGATCAGGAATCTGCTTTCAGAGGACACTCAACGTGACTCAAGACATGTGCTGCTGTGACTGGATGCCATTACATACACTAGAAAAATGGAGGTTTGCACATTGCAAACCGTAGTTAACATTCACGAAACCAACAAGCCAAAGGCGCCATGGCAACCAGTAAACGAACACGCAAAAATAACAATAATTAGAATAAGAAACAGAAAAAAAATCAAGTTAGTGTGACAACAAATGCAAGGTTCCCTTTCCGGTGAAAGTGCTGCAACTGAGTGTGTCATTGCTGACCAACAATTTGTTTTCGTTTTGCTGTGTCTGGCCTTCGCCGTCACGACACTGACTTATTGTTATTTTTTTTCTGCCATACCAACTACACCGAAACCAATTTCTCAGTTCAATCTCTCCCTTACTATTCGCCCACCCTTTAGCACGGGCGGCTCTCCTCCCTACACTGCCCCCCCCCCCCCCGCTTCGCTGCTCTCTTTTGGAAGGAAGTGGCTATGCAGTGCTCATATAGTGCAATCCTGCAAAAACCAAAAATTGGCTCTCAACGGTCATAGGCGTTTTGGCATCGTGGTATAGCTATGCCCCTATGTCAGGGTATTAAGTTGAGTACTGGGATGCTCATTGCATTCAGACTGGCACCGGGATGCCTATGCGAGCGATAATTATGTGGGCCGGCATCAAGATGGCCTTAGCGTGGATGCGTACACGTTACACCCTGGGCTTGATGCGAGGCTAAGTGATGCATTCTTAACTGTTTACGGCAATTCACATTTAATTGCGCGGAACTAAAACAAGCAGTATGGGGCCAAGTTGCCCACAGCCATAAGCGAGCACCGGGATGCTTTAACACCCAGACGGGCACCGGGTTGCGCGTAACAATACTAAGGAGAGCACCGGGATGCATATGTGAGCGGGTTGCGTTGTAAGGGGCACCGGGATGCCTATAATTGTTAGTCAAGCGGGCACCGGGATGCCCATATGAATTAAGCGGTAAGCGAGCACCGGGATGCTTATCACACCTGGACGGACACCGGGTTACACGTAATAATAAGTCCGGCACCGGGATGCCCAAGAGGATGGGCAGGCAGCGAAAGGGATACCTAAAATGCCCATATTTAGTATAGCTGGCACCAAGATGCTCTAAATACGCAAACTGGCGACGGACGCTGATGATTGTGAGGCGAGCACCGGGATGCTCAAATGCGTCCAAACCGGCGCATTAATACCGGGATGCTTCGGTAAATAAATACGTATTGCAAGCAGCCAGTTAGTTTGCCTTCAAAGTCATTGTAGCTGGGCACAGCGATGCGATGGTCTGTCATGTTTTGCTCTTCGTACTGGCTTAACTGCTTGCTTATTTTATTATCCACTGCGTTTGGTGCTGCTGCCGTGTCCCCACATTGCAGATGGGTGGGTTCGATATCATTCACCTCCAGCCACCACCAGGAGGGAGATACTCGACGCTCAAGCCAGCAGGCTCCTGGCCCAATCGGTGGCGCCCCGGACACGCCAGACCTACAGCCCTGGAGTCAGGTCCTACATTCAGTTTGCGCAGCAGCTCCGCTTCAGCCATCTGGCACCGACGGTCAATGATATAGTTCTCTTCATGACGTCACTGTCCGCGTCACTGTCTGGGAAGACAATCAGGGTATACCTAGCAGCCGTCCGCCACCACTTTGTATTGAATGATGGTCCGGTGGATCTGCTCAGAGCACCCAGGATACTGGCCTTGCTGAAGGGCATCGACCGTGACAAGCTGACGTCCAGGCCAATGCCTGTGCCTCCGTCATCCAGACGTGCGGTGACACCCAACGACCTCAAGGCTATCCGCGAATTCCTGGAGTTCTCGCATTATGCACCGCAAGACAAGGCCATGCTCTGGGCAGCAGTACTCACAGCTTTCCACGGGCTCATGCGTGTGAGCGAGTACACGGCGCCATCACCAACAACGGTGGATGCTCACAGGACTCTTCAGAGGAGCCATGTCGCCCTCTCAGAGGAGAAGGTCACGATCACCCTAGGGGTAACGAAGACGGCACAGTCGGGCGCTGGGGGCACAGTGTTACTGCATGCAAGCAGGTATCCCGCAACCTGCCCTGTGCGTTCAGTCGCTGCCTACATAAGTGCCAGGGAGTGGGCGGATACAGGTGCCCCATTCTTCGCCTTCCGCGAGGGGCGCTACCTAACCCCGGGCGACGTGAACGCCATTCTCAAGAGGGCTCTCGGCCCAGGCGTTTCAAGCCATTCTCTGCGGATCGGTGGTGCTACGGCCATGGCCGAACGACAGGCCCCGGAGTGGCAAATTCAAGCGGCAGGGCGCTGGTCAAGCTCTGCGTACAAGGCGTACGTCCGTGTCCCGTCGGGCATGCCAGCTTATCAGCAGACAGAGCTAGCGTAGAGAGCAGTTCGAAGCTTCACGGGGTTCATGTTCCTAAGTTGCATTCAAGTCACGGCCCTGCGTCCGCGGCCACCCACTCCCTTTCTTGGAGGCATGTGGGGTTGGCGGTCAATCGCCTGCCCGCAGCTTCGGGCAAACACATGACACCGGGTTGTCATCGCAAAATGCCCCCAGAGGTGGCCGGGCACCGGGTTGCCCAGGGTGACCGCGGCCCACGACTTCAAAATGTTTCTCACCTTATCACTATTCCCTTGTTCCCTGATCATTGCCTTGGAACAGTATCACTTTGCTCTCAGATGTTTCAAAATTTGATTCGAATGATTAATAAATTTCGGGCACATGAAACCCCTCCAAAAAATACCAACCGTGATCCGTTGTTGTGTGGAGTGAATGTTGAAATGGAGGTTTGCACATTGCAAACCGTAGTTAACATTCACGAAACCAACAAGCCAAAGGCGCCATGGCAACCAGTAAACGAACCCGCAAAAATAACAATAATTAGAATAAGAAACAGAAAAAAAATCAAGTTAGTGTGACAACAAATGCAAGGTTCCCTTTCCGGTGAAAGTGCTGCAACTGAGTGTGTCATTGCTGACCAACAATTTGTTTTCCCCACCCTCCACTCCCACTGTACAAGTATTACTGGTACACATGGAGGCATGTGGGGTTGGCGGTCAATCGCCTGCCCGCAGCTTCGGGCAAACACATGACACCGGGTTGTCATCGCAAAATGCCCCCAGAGGTGGCCGGGCACCGGGTTGCCCAGGGTGACCGCGGCCCACGACTTCAAAATGTTTCTCACCTTATCACTATTCCCTTGTTCCCTGATCATTGCCTTGGAACAGTATCACTTTGCTCTCAGATGTTTCAAAATTTGATTCGAATGATTAATAAATTTCGGGCACATGAAACCCCTCCAAAAAATACCAACCGTGATCCGTTGTTGTGTGGAGTGAATGTTGAAGTATAATTATCATGCAAAACTGACTTGGAAACTTGCGAACACATAGTGGGGTCGCATTAACAGTGACGTCTCCTTTGCACTGGCGTTGCGGCACGTGTATAATGATTGGTAAAATATTACGGAGAGTTGGCCCAGTGCCCACAAACATGGGAGACTCGGATTGGCATACATTCCACATTGTACATGTATGTTGTAGAATACGATCTCTATTTCGTTCCCTAATCGCAGCTCTAGTCTGAAAAAAAACGTTTCTTCAAGTGTCCATACATTGTATTATGCATATGCGGAGCAGCTCCCATCTCTGTGCTGCGCTGATGAGTCCAAAAAGGACGAAACGGTTCTGTCCGCAGATTGGCAGATTGAATATGCTCCAATCTTGTTAGAATCGAGGGGCACAAGGGTGGTGAGACCTAGTGCACTCGGTTGATCCTACAGTGTAAGTGTCGGATTGATCATAGTGTGATCTAATCATGTACATGTAGTAAAATACAGTTCGCACCTACGCGTTACCACTAGTCACTGGCTACACAATTGTCTTGAGAACCACAACCAGCTTAGGACAGTGGATGCCCCTACATCATGAAAGCTTGGCAATACGTACATGTACATACTGGTAAGTTCCCAATCTCCAAATAGCTGTTTCAACCTGGTTTGGTGTCATCAGCGGAGCACAGAGCATCGTACACTTGTAAGTTTTGTAGGCATCGCTTTCCTCTACTTACACATCACTAATGTAGTGTGTAACAGTTACATCCATGCTTCAAGAGGATGCTGCTTCTAATGTCATGAACGCTAACATGTAGTTGGCTCAGAATGGATATCAAAACTACATTGTGTATAATGTAACAGTATTAGCTAGGGGGAATTCCCAGAATAGGGCTTGTCGGATCATGCAGTCACCGACACATACCAAGGACTTAAAGGGGAAGTTAAGGCAAAAATTAAAATTTCACCAGTTGTAGTCTTCGGGGTGCTGAGTCGAATGGTCGTGGTCCGAGGAAGCTGAGACGCTCCCTTCCTACTTGAATCCCAATCGAACTCGCGCACTTCCACCGAAACTGGGTGACTGCGCCCTACGAGATGGGGATTTGTATGCAAAATGTCACTAAAAGCGCCATTTCGTTCTTATAAAAGCACGAATGACCGCGATTGGCCCATATGTTGTAGTCTTTTGGACGCTGAGTCGACTGGTTTTGGTCCGAAAAGGCTGCGATGCAGCGTTCGCCCCTAATTCCCAATCGAACATGGTTGAACAAGCGGTCACGTGCTCCTGCGTACACCGGTCACCTGGTCACCGTGCCTGCAGGGTACAACTTACAGCCTGTTTTGACCTTTTTTGGGTGCAGTCCTGTCACTCGAGTTGAACCTTGGTGTGAAAGTTGTCGCCTGCTGGCGTGGTGACCAGGTGATTTTGGCACCCAGGAGCACGTGACCGCTTCTTCAACCATGTTCGATTGGGAATAAAGGAGGAACGCTGCATCGCAGCCTTTTCGGACCAAAACCAGTCGACTCAGCGTCCAAAGGACTACAACATATGGGCCAATCGCGGTCATCCGTGCTTTTATAAGAACGAAATGGCGCTTTTAGTGACATTTTGCATACAAATCCCCATCTAGTAGGGCGCAGTCACCCAGTTTCGGTGGAAGTGCGCGAGTTCGATTGGGATTCAAGTAGGAAGGGAGCGTCTCAGCTTTCTCGGACCAAGACCATTCGACTCAGCACCCCGAAGACTACAACTGGTGAAATTTTAATTTTTGCCTTAACTTCCCCTTTAACATCGTGGCTAGTCAACTGTAGATCAAGCACATAACAATTAAAAATGGTCAGAAAGTGTTTCCGTTGATACTGATCAAGATCACAAATCACAACTGGAGCACAAATGGTTGGCCCATTATTCCAGAAGCGTAAACATGTTTAGAAGAGGTTGGGGCGAGGTCCTATTGCCGAATGGAAAGTTTGATGGACTTCTCGTGTGCTCTTGATGGCAGTCGTGAGTCAGTCAAGTGAGAATTCAAGTCGGCAGGAATAGCGCAAGCTCCCAAGTAGGGAGCAACACACAATTCGTAAACATGTTTGTTATAATAACATATTGGTACATTGAAAGGCCTTTTTTGTGCAGTGGAAGCAAAATAATGAGTAGGAAATAGGGCTTGGACCAAACGAATAGAATGACAGTACATGTACAACTGTGCTATAATACTTCGATTGCAGTTCGCACTGTATATCACTGTGTGAGTGCTGGTTCCTAGAGCAAAACAAACGTAGTTGTGACTGATTGTGTATGTTCTTCTCCTGATCAGAAAGCTATGCAGATGGAACTATGGCGGTACTGTGCTGGAGTGGAAGAGTCGGACAGACTGCACTCTGCTCTCTCATTGCCTGCTGCTTTGTAAAGACTAACTACATGTACACAGTACACAGTTGTTTCTGTTGTTCTTATCGCAGTTTCTGTGGTCCTGATGATCCGAACCTGTCGACGTAGGGTACAGCCTGGAGGGACAACACAGAAGTTTGCAGTCACTAGATTGTTGGAACCGTGCGATTTCTCCGATTGTCTATGGCTTGTTTTCTACATCATGAAGTCACATGAAGTCACATGGAGACACACACCGCACTCTTTGTACATGTACGTATACAATGTAAAAATTGATAGTGCTGCAGCCTGCAATGATAGTGCATGGTCCATGTACAATACATTGTACTTGAATGTTTTCACAGCATTAGTCTGAGCAATGCGGTAGGTACTAGTACACTGAAGTGGATTTCCCTGTTCCACTCCAGCGGGTATGAAATTGATGGCTTCCCCATCCCGCATGCAAGACAATCATAGTCCCAATCCACTACATACATGTACGTATTGTCAAGCCAATCTTTTCTTGCTCGCCCTTGAGGATCCCAGGGGGCGGTGACACGGGCATCCTCCAGCCTTCTTCAGAGACTTACTGCAGTTTGGGACATGCTTTAAAGGGGAAGTATACCCTAAAATCAAATTTTCACCAGTTGTAGTCTTCGGGGTGCTGAGTCGAATGGTCTTGGTCCGAGAAAGCTGAGACGCTCCCTTCCTACTTGAATCCCAATCGAACTCGCGCACTTCCACCGAAACTGGGTGACTGCGCCCTACTAGATGGGGATTTGTATGCAAAATGTCACTAAAAGCGCCATTTCGTTCTTATAAAAGCACGGATGACCGCGATTGGCCCATGTGTTGTAGTCTTTTGGACGCTGAGTCGACTGGTTTTGGTCCGAAAAGGCTGCGATGCAGCGTTTCTCCTTTATTCCCAATCGAACATGGTTGAACAAGCGGTCACGTGCTCCTGCGTACACCAGTCACCTGGTCACCGTGCCTGCAGGGTACAACTTACTAGCCTGTTTGACCTTTTTTGGGTGCAGTCCTGTCACTCGAGTTGAACCTTGGTGTGAAAGTTGTCGCCTGCTGGCGCCGTGACCAGGTGATTTGGGCAACCAGGACCACGTGACCGCTTCTTCAACCATGTTCGATTGGGAATAAAGGAGGAACGCTGCATCGCAGCCTTTTCGGACCAAAACCAGTCGACTCAGCGTCCAAAAGACTACAACATATGGGCCAATCGCGGTCATCCGTGCTTTTATAAGAACGAAATGGCGCTTTTAGTGACATTTTGCATACAAATCCCCATCTAGTAGGGCGCAGTCACCCAGTTTCGGTGGAAGTGCGCGAGTTCGATTGGGATTCAAGTAGGAAGGGAGCGTCGCAGCTTCCTCGGACCAAGACCATTCGACTCAGCACCCCGAAGACTACAACTGGTGAAAATTTGATTTTAGGGTATACTTCCCCTTTAAACGGTACGATGTATATACTAGTGATGTACCAGTTTTAATATGTTATGCCCTAATCAACATGCAGAGACCGCGCTGTCACTGAGAATGTGTTCTATCCCTGCTATACCTGTTGCTGCCAAAGACGTGTTTTTGACTTGAGTCCGACTAGCGACAATTCATCCCGCTGATCTTCCCTAAGTTAGTAAGACATTGAAAAGAGACAGCAACATTACACTCGAATCAGTCAATGGAGATACGCTGTGTGTGTGTGCGTGTGTGCGCGTGTGTGTTTGTGTGAGTGTGTGCTTTGAGGCACACACGACCGCGTCCAATCGGCATCCATACCGATCTCTAGAGCCGAATGCCCATACATGTAGTGGAGTGTAGTGGAGTGTAGTGGAGTGTAGTGGAGTGTAGTGGAGTGTAGTGGAGTGTAGTGGAGTGTAGTGGAGTGTAGTGGAGTGTAGTGGAGTGTAGTGGAGTGTAGTGGAGTGTAGTGGAGTGAAGTGGAGTGTAGTGGAGTGTAGTGGAGTGTAGTGGAGTGTAGTGGAGTGTAGTGGAGTGTAGTGGAGTGTAGTGGAGTGTAGTGGAGTGTAGTGGAGTGTAGTGGAGTGTAGTGGAGTGTAGTGGAGTGTAGTGGAGTGTAGTGGAGTGTAGTGGAGTGTAGTGGAGTGTAGTGGAGTGTAGTGGAGTGTAGTGGAGTGTAGTGGAGTGTAGTGGAGTGTAGTGGAGTGTAGTGGAGTGTAGTGGAGTGTAGTGGAGTGTAGTGGAGTGTAGTGGAGTGTAGTGGAGTGTAGTGGAGTGTAGTGGAGTGTAGTGGAGTGTAGTGGAGTGTAGTGGAGTGTAGTGGAGTGTAGTGGAGTGTAGTGGAGTGTAGTGGAGTGTAGTGGAGTGTAGTGGAGTGTAGTGGAGTGTAGTGGAGTGTAGTGGAGTGTAGTGGAGTGTAGTGGAGTGTAGTGGAGTGTAGTGGAGTGTAGTGGAGTGTAGTGGAGTGTAGTGGAGTGTAGTGGAGTGTAGTGGAGTGTAGTGGAGTGTAGTGGAGTGTAGTGGAGTGTAGTGGAGTGTAGTGGAGTGTAGTGGAGTGTAGTGGAGTGTAGTGGAGTGTAGTGGAGTGTAGTGGAGTGTAGTGGAGTGTAGTGGAGTGTAGTGGAGTGTAGTGGAGTGTAGTGGAGTGTAGTGGAGTGTAGTGGAGTGTAGTGGAGTGTAGTGGAGTGTAGTGGAGTGTAGTGGAGTGTAGTGGAGTGTAGTGGAGTGTAGTGGAGTGTAGTGGAGTGTAGTGGAGTGTAGTGGAGTGTAGTGGAGTGTAGTGGAGTGTAGTGGAGTGTAGTGGAGTGTAGTGGAGTGTAGTGGAGTGTAGTGGAGTGTAGTGGAGTGTAGTGGAGTGTAGTGGAGTGTAGTGGAGTGTAGTGGAGTGTAGTGGAGTGTAGTGGAGTGTAGTGGAGTGTAGTGGAGTGTAGTGGAGTGTAGTGGAGTGTAGTGGAGTGTAGTGGAGTGTAGTGGAGTGTAGTGGAGTGTAGTGGAGTGTAGTGGAGTGTAGTGGAGTGTAGTGGAGTGTAGTGGAGTGTAGTGGAGTGTAGTGGAGTGTAGTGGAGTGTAGTGGAGTGTAGTGGAGTGTAGTGGAGTGTAGTGGAGTGTAGTGGAGTGTAGTGGAGTGTAGTGGAGTGTAGTGGAGTGTAGTGGAGTGTAGTGGAGTGTAGTGGAGTGTAGTGGAGTGTAGTGGAGTGTAGTGGAGTGTAGTGGAGTGTAGTGGAGTGTAGTGGAGTGTAGTGGAGTGTAGTGGAGTGTAGTGGAGTGTAGTGGAGTGTAGTGGAGTGTAGTGGAGTGTAGTGGAGTGTAGTGGAGTGTAGTGGAGTGTAGTGGAGTGTAGTGGAGTGTAGTGGAGTGTAGTGGAGTGTAGTGGAGTGTAGTGGAGTGTAGTGGAGTGTAGTGGAGTGTAGTGGAGTGTAGTGGAGTGTAGTGGAGTGTAGTGGAGTGTAGTGGAGTGTAGTGGAGTGTAGTGGAGTGTAGTGGAGTGTAGTGGAGTGTAGTGGAGTGTAGTGGAGTGTAGTGGAGTGTAGTGGAGTGTAGTGGAGTGTAGTGGAGTGTAGTGGAGTGTAGTGGAGTGTAGTGGAGTGTAGTGGAGTGTAGTGGAGTGTAGTGGAGTGTAGTGGAGTGTAGTGGAGTGTAGTGGAGTGTAGTGGAGTGTAGTGGAGTGTAGTGGAGTGTAGTGGAGTGTAGTGGAGTGTAGTGGAGTGTAGTGGAGTGTAGTGGAGTGTAGTGGAGTGTAGTGGAGTGTAGTGGAGTGTAGTGGAGTGTAGTGGAGTGTAGTGGAGTGTAGTGGAGTGTAGTGGAGTGTAGTGGAGTGTAGTGGAGTGTAGTGGAGTGTAGTGGAGTGTAGTGGAGTGTAGTGGAGTGTAGTGGAGTGTAGTGGAGTGTAGTGGAGTGTAGTGGAGTGTAGTGGAGTGTAGTGGAGTGTAGTGGAGTGTAGTGGAGTGTAGTGGAGTGTAGTGGAGTGTAGTGGAGTGTAGTGGAGTGTAGTGGAGTGTAGTGGAGTGTAGTGGAGTGTAGTGGAGTGTAGTGGAGTGTAGTGGAGTGTAGTGGAGTGTAGTGGAGTGTAGTGGAGTGTAGTGGAGTGTAGTGGAGTGTAGTGGAGTGTAGTGGAGTGTAGTGGAGTGTAGTGGAGTGTAGTGGAGTGTAGTGGAGTGTAGTGGAGTGTAGTGGAGTGTAGTGGAGTGTAGTGGAGTGTAGTGGAGTGTAGTGGAGTGTAGTGGAGTGTAGTGGAGTGTAGTGGAGTGTAGTGGAGTGTAGTGGAGTGTAGTGGAGTGTAGTGGAGTGTAGTGGAGTGTAGTGGAGTGTAGTGGAGTGTAGTGGAGTGTAGTGGAGTGTAGTGGAGTGTAGTGGAGTGTAGTGGAGTGTAGTGGAGTGTAGTGGAGTGTAGTGGAGTGTAGTGGAGTGTAGTGGAGTGTAGTGGAGTGTAGTGGAGTGTAGTGGAGTGTAGTGGAGTGTAGTGGAGTGTAGTGGAGTGTAGTGGAGTGTAGTGGAGTGTAGTGGAGTGTAGTGGAGTGTAGTGGAGTGTAGTGGAGTGTAGTGGAGTGTAGTGGAGTGTAGTGGAGTGTAGTGGAGTGTAGTGGAGTGTAGTGGAGTGTAGTGGAGTGTAGTGGAGTGTAGTGGAGTGTAGTGGAGTGTAGTGGAGTGTAGTGGAGTGTAGTGGAGTGTAGTGGAGTGTAGTGGAGTGTAGTGGAGTGTAGTGGAGTGTAGTGGAGTGTAGTGGAGTGTAGTGGAGTGTAGTGGAGTGTAGTGGAGTGTAGTGGAGTGTAGTGGAGTGTAGTGGAGTGTAGTGGAGTGTAGTGGAGTGTAGTGGAGTGTAGTGGAGTGTAGTGGAGTGTAGTGGAGTGTAGTGGAGTGTAGTGGAGTGTAGTGGAGTGTAGTGGAGTGTAGTGGAGTGTAGTGGAGTGTAGTGGAGTGTAGTGGAGTGTAGTGGAGTGTAGTGGAGTGTAGTGGAGTGTAGTGGAGTGTAGTGGAGTGTAGTGGAGTGTAGTGGAGTGTAGTGGAGTGTAGTGGAGTGTAGTGGAGTGTAGTGGAGTGTAGTGGAGTGTAGTGGAGTGTAGTGGAGTGTAGTGGAGTGTAGTGGAGTGTAGTGGAGTGTAGTGGAGTGTAGTGGAGTGTAGTGGAGTGTAGTGGAGTGTAGTGGAGTGTAGTGGAGTGTAGTGGAGTGTAGTGGAGTGTAGTGGAGTGTAGTGGAGTGTAGTGGAGTGTAGTGGAGTGTAGTGGAGTGTAGTGGAGTGTAGTGGAGTGTAGTGGAGTGTAGTGGAGTGTAGTGGAGTGTAGTGGAGTGTAGTGGAGTGTAGTGGAGTGTAGTGGAGTGTAGTGGAGTGTAGTGGAGTGTAGTGGAGTGTAGTGGAGTGTAGTGGAGTGTAGTGGAGTGTAGTGGAGTGTAGTGGAGTGTAGTGGAGTGTAGTGGAGTGTAGTGGAGTGTAGTGGAGTGTAGTGGAGTGTAGTGGAGTGTAGTGGAGTGTAGTGGAGTGTAGTGGAGTGTAGTGGAGTGTAGTGGAGTGTAGTGGAGTGTAGTGGAGTGTAGTGGAGTGTAGTGGAGTGTAGTGGAGTGTAGTGGAGTGTAGTGGAGTGTAGTGGAGTGTAGTGGAGTGTAGTGGAGTGTAGTGGAGTGTAGTGGAGTGTAGTGGAGTGTAGTGGAGTGTAGTGGAGTGTAGTGGAGTGTAGTGGAGTGTAGTGGAGTGTAGTGGAGTGTAGTGGAGTGTAGTGGAGTGTAGTGGAGTGTAGTGGAGTGTAGTGGAGTGTAGTGGAGTGTAGTGGAGTGTAGTGGAGTGTAGTGGAGTGTAGTGGAGTGTAGTGGAGTGTAGTGGAGTGTAGTGGAGTGTAGTGGAGTGTAGTGGAGTGTAGTGGAGTGTAGTGGAGTGTAGTGGAGTGTAGTGGAGTGTAGTGGAGTGTAGTGGAGTGTAGTGGAGTGTAGTGGAGTGTAGTGGAGTGTAGTGGAGTGTAGTGGAGTGTAGTGGAGTGTAGTGGAGTGTAGTGGAGTGTAGTGGAGTGTAGTGGAGTGTAGTGGAGTGTAGTGGAGTGTAGTGGAGTGTAGTGGAGTGTAGTGGAGTGTAGTGGAGTGTAGTGGAGTGTAGTGGAGTGTAGTGGAGTGTAGTGGAGTGTAGTGGAGTGTAGTGGAGTGTAGTGGAGTGTAGTGGAGTGTAGTGGAGTGTAGTGGAGTGTAGTGGAGTGTAGTGGAGTGTAGTGGAGTGTAGTGGAGTGTAGTGGAGTGTAGTGGAGTGTAGTGGAGTGTAGTGGAGTGTAGTGGAGTGTAGTGGAGTGTAGTGGAGTGTAGTGGAGTGTAGTGGAGTGTAGTGGAGTGTAGTGGAGTGTAGTGGAGTGTAGTGGAGTGTAGTGGAGTGTAGTGGAGTGTAGTGGAGTGTAGTGGAGTGTAGTGGAGTGTAGTGGAGTGTAGTGGAGTGTAGTGGAGTGTAGTGGAGTGTAGTGGAGTGTAGTGGAGTGTAGTGGAGTGTAGTGGAGTGTAGTGGAGTGTAGTGGAGTGTAGTGGAGTGTAGTGGAGTGTAGTGGAGTGTAGTGGAGTGTAGTGGAGTGTAGTGGAGTGTAGTGGAGTGTAGTGGAGTGTAGTGGAGTGTAGTGGAGTGTAGTGGAGTGTAGTGGAGTGTAGTGGAGTGTAGTGGAGTGTAGTGGAGTGTAGTGGAGTGTAGTGGAGTGTAGTGGAGTGTAGTGGAGTGTAGTGGAGTGTAGTGGAGTGTAGTGGAGTGTAGTGGAGTGTAGTGGAGTGTAGTGGAGTGTAGTGGAGTGTAGTGGAGTGTAGTGGAGTGTAGTGGAGTGTAGTGGAGTGTAGTGGAGTGTAGTGGAGTGTAGTGGAGTGTAGTGGAGTGTAGTGGAGTGTAGTGGAGTGTAGTGGAGTGTAGTGGAGTGTAGTGGAGTGTAGTGGAGTGTAGTGGAGTGTAGTGGAGTGTAGTGGAGTGTAGTGGAGTGTAGTGGAGTGTAGTGGAGTGTAGTGGAGTGTAGTGGAGTGTAGTGGAGTGTAGTGGAGTGTAGTGGAGTGTAGTGGAGTGTAGTGGAGTGTAGTGGAGTGTAGTGGAGTGTAGTGGAGTGTAGTGGAGTGTAGTGGAGTGTAGTGGAGTGTAGTGGAGTGTAGTGGAGTGTAGTGGAGTGTAGTGGAGTGTAGTGGAGTGTAGTGGAGTGTAGTGGAGTGTAGTGGAGTGTAGTGGAGTGTAGTGGAGTGTAGTGGAGTGTAGTGGAGTGTAGTGGAGTGTAGTGGAGTGTAGTGGAGTGTAGTGGAGTGTAGTGGAGTGTAGTGGAGTGTAGTGGAGTGTAGTGGAGTGTAGTGGAGTGTAGTGGAGTGTAGTGGAGTGTAGTGGAGTGTAGTGGAGTGTAGTGGAGTGTAGTGGAGTGTAGTGGAGTGTAGTGGAGTGTAGTGGAGTGTAGTGGAGTGTAGTGGAGTGTAGTGGAGTGTAGTGGAGTGTAGTGGAGTGTAGTGGAGTGTAGTGGAGTGTAGTGGAGTGTAGTGGAGTGTAGTGGAGTGTAGTGGAGTGTAGTGGAGTGTAGTGGAGTGTAGTGGAGTGTAGTGGAGTGTAGTGGAGTGTAGTGGAGTGTAGTGGAGTGTAGTGGAGTGTAGTGGAGTGTAGTGGAGTGTAGTGGAGTGTAGTGGAGTGTAGTGGAGTGTAGTGGAGTGTAGTGGAGTGTAGTGGAGTGTAGTGGAGTGTAGTGGAGTGTAGTGGAGTGTAGTGGAGTGTAGTGGAGTGTAGTGGAGTGTAGTGGAGTGTAGTGGAGTGTAGTGGAGTGTAGTGGAGTGTAGTGGAGTGTAGTGGAGTGTAGTGGAGTGTAGTGGAGTGTAGTGGAGTGTAGTGGAGTGTAGTGGAGTGTAGTGGAGTGTAGTGGAGTGTAGTGGAGTGTAGTGGAGTGTAGTGGAGTGTAGTGGAGTGTAGTGGAGTGTAGTGGAGTGTAGTGGAGTGTAGTGGAGTGTAGTGGAGTGTAGTGGAGTGTAGTGGAGTGTAGTGGAGTGTAGTGGAGTGTAGTAGCAGAAGTAGCAGAAGTACATGTAGTCACTAATCCGTCAATTTTTTTAATCTCAAATTCCATTCATAATAATCCCCATAAATGAGAAATTCTATAATAGCAATCAATAGGATTTTTTGTATCCAAAACTTATCACTGTTCATCACTGTTCATACAAATTCGGTCATCAATATTCCTTGTCATACTTCCCTCATTATTTCTCACCCTCTATCATGCCTGCAGGTTTCACACTCTCCTGCACTGTTTCGTTCCTTTCTTCGTCGGTCTGTGAGGGCTGGGGCAGTTCACCTGTCTAAGCAAGATAGCGACATTGCATGTTCACTCTGGAGCAATAACGATATCTACCGGTAACCAACCAACCCGCCTGGTGGCTAACAGAGCTTACTTCTCCAGAGCATGTCCCTATCGACCAGGCATTTCTTGTGGTAGCATGCAGTTTACTCTCAAACCACCAGTTCGGTTTCCGCCGAGGGTTAGGGCCTGCTGACCTCCTGACAGGACTGCACCACTAGTGTAGCAAGATAGCAGCTGCTGGCGATGCTGTATGCATTGTTGCCGTTGACATTGCGGGCGCCTTCGACAAAGTCTCCCACGCAGGTGTCCTTCACAAGGCTTACGGAGTATCCGGGAACCTCCTCAAGTGGCTCCACAGCTACTTGGCGGATAGACGAATCCAGGCCGTTTTGAGTGGCCAAATCTCCCCTGAATTCCGAATCAGCTCAGGTATGCCGCGAGGGAGCATATTGGCCCCAACTCTGTTCCTCCTATGTCAATGATATGGAGGACCACCTCCCAGCTACAACCCAGCTCGCCATATATGCAGATGACACTACGTTATATCAGTGCATCCCGTCCCTGACAGCTCTCCCAGTTGACCTAGCGCAGCTCCAGACTGCTGTGGATGCCCTAGCTGAATGGGGCCAGAGCTGGAAGATCACATTCGAGCCGACAAAGTCGCAAGTCTTGACGATTTCGCATCACCGTCAACCCTGGCCGATTCCTCCAGCCACTTTCAATGGGGTGGCCATAGAGGAAATGGAGGGGCTGAAGTTGCTTGGAGTGCTCTTCGATCGGAGCCTCTCCTTTCGCTCCCACATTCGACAGGTTGCAGTCCGTGGTCACCAACGTCTTGGCTTCATGAGGAAGGCTCTGCCAATTCTCGACAACAAGGCCAAGTATGCCGTGTATCGCGGCTTCGTCCGCCCAGTACGTGAGTACTGCCCGCTTTCATGGTTGGGTGCGTCCCAGTCCACCCTGAGTAGGCATGGGCGGGTAATGCTAGCATTATGGCTGGCATTATAGTCCCTTTTTTCCAGGTGGCATAATGCTGGTATTATAACACCATTTCGCATGCAAAATTGGCATTACAAGCATCATTGCCGGTCGACAACGGTGTCATGCATGAAGCTGGCTAGGTCCAGTTCCGAAAATAGTGCATCTGAACCCGTCCGGCTTCGTCCGGAGACTTGACGTTGCAAATCAACCTTCTCACTTCTCAGTGGATTCTCAGTGGATTCTCAGTGGATTGTTTCAGACAACATGCTCACTGCTGTATACGTTTTTTCTTCTACGCTTTGGCCTTGATCCAGGACGGCCTTCTGAAATCGACTTTTCCAACTTTCAAACTGGCATTATGGAGTAGTGTGAGCATTATAAGTGGCATTATATCCTCATTATTATGAGCATTGCTTTTAGCATTGTCGCAGCAAATAGCTAGCATTACCCGCCCATGCCTAACCCTGAGCCAGCTGGACCAGGTACAGCACTGAGCCCTAACATCGGCCCAGGGTCATATCTCCCAAGCCTCACTGTTTGGCGTCAAGTTGCAGCACTCACATGCTTGTACAAGCTGCATTGGATTGAGGGCCCCCAATCCTGACCACCGTGGCACCACCGAGGGCAGTTGCTAACCAGCACAGGCGCTCCACTCGCCACCAGCAAGAGGAGCAGCACCGACACTGCCCGCCGGAGCCCGTAGTAGTGATCTCCGATCATTCACCCATGCCACGATCCAAGAATGGAATCGTCTCCCATCTGTCCTGCGACGCAACCTTCCCACGCAGAAGGGAATGCAGGCATTCAAGGAAGGCGCCTACAAGTCTCTCCAAAGTCGAGACTGGCACTCAGCCACAGATGCCCTCTGAACCCCCTCTCCGCTTGCACCCTGGCTTCCCCCTTTTTTTACTCTATCACATGTATGTGTCCACCCGAATTCTTTTCACATGTATCATCTTTCCAATTTTCACCCTCTATACAAATACTCCCCCCCCCCCTGTGCCTACTCCTCCCCACTTTTTGGTGCGCTGAAGTGTCGCTGAAGCCGAGACCTTAGGTCTGCGGAGATGCTCCAGTTTCACCACCACAGTTGCGTCTGCAACCACCTCTATCATTCTGTTCTCGAGGTTCGTGGTTTCTCGTAAAAAAAATGCACATGACAATGGCCGGCTGTATTTCCAATGACTCGCTATATGTCCAAAGTGTATTTTGAAGCCAGCTAACCTTTGGACACCTTGGCTTGATCTAGGAGGCGCATTCCCAGCGTGGCCTCCTCGCCCTAGACTGCTTGTAGGTGGCAGCGACGAGACACCGCTTTGAGGCTGCTGATGATGATGATGGTGCTGTTGCTGCTGTTGCTGCTGCTGCTGCTTCTGGTGTGACTGTCTACTGGTGCGTTGGTTCCCGCTTGTACGATGATTGCCCCTACCCGAGCCAGCAACGGTGGGAGTATTCGTTGACTTTGCTCTTGCTGAGGACCTCGAAGTCACATTACCCTTGCTATTGTTACGCCCGTCGCTGCTCGTGACTATTCTTGGCCTTGCTGCTGGTGCTGCTGGTGCTGCTGCTGCTTTTACATGTACTGTTACTACTGTTGCTGGTGCTGCTGTTGATTTGGGTGCCGGGGATGATGATGAACTATTCTGCTGGCAACCCATGATCGGTATGACTGCTATCATAACTCAATCAGCCGACCATGATGTGCTACGCTTACCTCATGTGCTATAGTCACGAGGGCTATCGATACACAATTGCTATGGATCTAAACTTCCCAGGGCCACCTCCTGTTCTCCGGGATTTCCTCGAGTTTCTGTTCATTCATTGGCACGATTACGCGCGCCTCTTTCTAGCCTGTAGCCAGTGTAGGACAGTCATCCCTCAGAGAAAAGAGCGTAATGCGACGTATCTAATCATCTGCAAAGGATTCACTGCAAAGACGCATTTCATGCACACACGCTTACTGTAGTTATTTAGGGAAGCAAGCCGACGTGTGCATGATGGACAGAAGTGAGACGGACTGAAGGTCCGGAAAACAATTGCAGCTTCTGCCTGTCTTAGACTGGCAACACAGCAGCAGTTGGCGTCCCAACAATGTCATGGTGACAGTGTCTGTTACTTGTTAGTGTATTACTATCACTGTTGTCCATTTCCATGGTGATCGTGTCTAAGCAGTACAGTCAACTCTGCGAATGGCGACCTTTGATCAGCATGAAAAAACGAGCCGTGATTCTCGAGTTGTCGTTATTCTCAAGGTTGAATGCGGTCAAATGGTCACCAGGTGTGAAGATTGTGTGTTATTCACGAGATGTTAGACTCCAGCCAGTCTCCAGGTCGTTATTCCAGAGATTGACTTTTCCTATGCATGCAGTTTAGGGCAATGCACAGAGTTAGACGAATTACCACCAGTGTGTGGAGTAGATCCAGAGCCACGGCCACTGCACCAGCCAGGCCATTTCGACTTGTACAGAATCTGATAGTCCACGCCGTGTACATGTAGGTACATTTGTACTACTAACAATGTAGGCACTAGTATTACTAGTATTAGGCTGACCGATCAGAAGATCAGGCTGCTGTGCTGGATATGACACTACATGTACCATTTTTTGACGCTAATGACCTCCTGATCATTATCATTGCAGTGATGCAGCGCTGGCAGACAACTTGACTACGGAGAGTGCGTCTAGTCTGAACTACATCAGTACATGACACAACATGACTGTATTGAGTCTGTACTTGTAGAACAAATTGGTGCTGAAGCCTTTGAAGAGCCTAGGGCTGGATCCGTGTTCCAGATATCATCGAGTTGTCATGTTGACAGCAGGGAGTCCTCACAGCGGTGGGTGAGAACGAAGAGGCGAATTCCAAAATAGATCTCATGTAGTGTAAGACTGGCAGTTTGTGTGCAGTGAGAC